TATATATATATATATACGTTTTTTTAATGAGCATAATTTAGTTTTTGGAAACACAATGTTCGCTTCATTCAAAATGATCCAGTTAACCTCTCGTATTATCTAGAGCATTATTATCAACACATTATTGTTGTGAAATGACGTGAGACGTAAAAAGCCAAAAAGATGATAGCAAAACAAGTATAAAAACTGTCTCAAAAAGTAAAAAAATAAAAAGTAAAATATTTTGTTACTTTGATGAGTGGTTTCCACAGGAAAATACACATAAGCCAATATAAAACACCCTTTAATGAAAGAAACAAGAGTAGAAAAGAAGAATAACAAATAACGTGTTCGTTTTTCACTCAACTGCAAATAAATGATGCAATTGCAGAGTTCCAGCCTGACTGAGTGAAATTACCTCCAATCTACACGAATCACAAAAGATCTGCACTCTCTTGGCTCGTGCTGTGATGTACCAATTAGTCCAAACTATCATTTAAATCACCGAGCTGTTCAAGTTCAACATCCAAATTGCAGGAAATTGTGTCAATATGTTACAAGCATTTGTGAAAAGTTAGCTGTGGCGATTCTGTCTTTGTGTGATTATTCATATTACTCAACCTTTCCCGTGACCATCAAATAAACTTGCCACTGGTGCTGCCTTACGTGATAAAAGGATATAATGCTCAAATTCTGCATGCGCTTTGTTCTAACCACAAGACATTCAATCGTTTAATCTGGTGGCCCGCAGATGGACTGTGCACATGCTGGTGGCAAGAAAAACCTGACCGTGTTGAAGCATCACCCTCTGAGAGGACACATTCCTTGTCATACCAAACAACATGTAAAAATGTGACCCGCACGCTCTCCCTTCTCAGTCGGGACTGATTGAGCTGCATGGAAGCTATCGGCCACCCACCGAACACAAATAAGGAGAACCATATGTGTCGAGAAGGACTGGGTAAACTGCACAACATTTTTATTAGATACAGTTTCACTTGCCTTCTCGATGGACTGCAAGGTGACACCATGAAAATAAACTCAGGGCTACAGTAAGAAAATAAGGTTAACAGAACTCGAATCAATGAAACCAGGACTTATTAAAGCAAATACCGATAACAATATTCGCTGTTACGACATCAAAAATAATGAAAATGCTCAGTTTGGGCCCTTTTGGATTTGTTTTTCCAATTCCCTTTGACTCATCGCATATGTGGTTTCAAAATGGGGATCGCAAATATTTACACAAATTACATACAAAACAGTCTTTGCAAACAATCACAATAGAATCTTTTGAGGAGCTTGTAAAAATCACTGGCCTGCACGGACATAGAAGCGACTTAAAAGAGAGTTTTTACAATGTGGTGGTCCGCTGAATTAAATTCGATAAATCATTTTATTCAATGATTCTTGCGTTGTGCCCAAGAAACTAAGAAAAATGCATATAATCCTCAAATCATTTCTCATAAATACGCAGGCACATATTTCCGCATTAAAAAGAAACCTTTTGCGATTCTCATGACAAGATATCAAGGACATTTCTGGTACACTATAATTATTCCTGTTAGTGAACAAATTGGATTAGTTTTAAATTAACAACCACTTATACTGTCTTTCGCTAGATTTCAATAATAAATGAGTAGCAATTGAAGTCAAACACTATCTTTCTGAAAGCACTTGGGGCTCTATTTTCACCATTTTTTTTCCTATTTTCTGCATACAAACTCACATCTTTATTTTCGTAGCCTCTTCTAGCTTGTTTGGGAATTAGGCAGATTGCGGTGGTGGACCGAGGGTGTTTTCCTTTACCTGCTCCCGACGCACATGACAATTTGGTGACTACAAGTAGACTACACTTCATGCCTGCTGGAAGGAGGTCTAAGTTGTGGCGCAGGGAGGGCAACACCATTTGGTGAATTTCATGGAGGGACAGGCAAACAGATTCTGACGATGTGGGGTGAATGTCATCATATTTCATTCAGAAATATGACAACAGCGTGCATCAAACCCTTTGAATCATTGGAGAGAGCGTTCTCCAAGTGCGCACTTCACAGCGCTGATCTGCGAGTACACTGGCTAACTTAACATCATCCGCTGAACTGCCCCAAAGTAAAAGAAAAATAATAATAATTTTACATTAAATGGTTTGTGATGGAAGTCACCCTCTGTAGAAAAAAAGCGCGCCATTCATACTCGGGCTGCCACTGGGCATGATTACATTCAGGTAAGAAGCATTCATATTGTTATGAAGACTAAACCTGAGATGATGATGTGTACACAATTAAGAACCTGCACTGCAATCTTTCAGAGCAAAATGGCCATTAATGCGATGGAAAGCACTAATGAACCTCTGACTCACTTCTGGGTGATTTGACCAGAGAGTTCTCAGAGGAGAATAGGTCACCTACTCTAAGTTTGTTGATTGTTTCTTTTTCTTTTTAATTAATGTGCCCAAAAATTGGCCTTTCCACTCTTAAATAAGAGCTTATTCATAGTAGCTGCCCCTGCCCCCCCCCCACCCCAAAAAAAGAAAATATATTGCTGAATTGCAGGGAACCCATGATATTAAACAGTTGATGCGATTGTGAAGTGCAGTGAATAATCATGCCAAGGCAACAGGCCGCAGGAATGCAAAATCAGCCCTCAAGGCAAGTGTTAAGTTAGCAGGTGGCCTCTTCCATTCACTGAATGTCAACATAGTCCACAGAACATCTGGGCAGGCCAGCCACTGCTTTTAATTACGTGCAATACAGTCACTCAATGTTCCAGCATATCCGAAAAAACACATATATAAAAGTAGGAAGGTGGGGGTGGGGGGTAGGGGGGATTTGGTGCAACACGACATATCGTGTGTTCTGTGAAGGTCAACATAGTTGAGTAAATAAAAATAATTCTTACCCTTAACCCCATTTCTACAAACTGTGAAAAATCTCTGAACAGCCAATTTGTGCAAGTGTACTTCTCTCGAAAATATGCTAATCCTGACAGATGTGCAACAACACTGCAACGTTTACGCGCTCAGTTTTACTTTCAAAATATGACTGCAAATTATGTGATGGATGTATCTTTCAGACATAATGTGGAAATGATTGCTGAAAAAAATTACAAGCATTTTTTTCTACTGGCAGCCTAGCTTGTCATCATCACTCATCTGTGGTCTAATGGAGGTAAACTGAATGCCTCTACACACTCCGTACCATGAGCACATACCTAAAAGCACACTTGGTGGTAGAGTGGTCGTTTCCCAACCCAGAGGTTGGTAGCCCGATCCCCGGCCATTGCAACCATGTCAAAGTGTCCTTGAGTAAGACGCTGAACCCCCAGTTGCTCCTAATGCTGCGTCATCAGTAGGTGAATGCGGTAACAGTGTAAAGTGCTTTGAGGTAGAAAAGCGCTATACAAGTGACAACCTAGTAGAGTTTTATTTCTTTATTGAGAAATTCAACGTACATTTTAGAAGGAGTGTTTTTGAGGTAAGTTTACTTGCCTAGTATTCGTTTTAAAAAATGCCCCTCAAGGAATGAGAAGCAAAACCCACAACCTTCAGTTTGGGAGACAGCTCCACTGCCACCTGAGCCATGCCACTCCTACTGTGAGTTCGTAAATTGCTTGTCATGATTCTGTTCTCGTGTGTCTCCAGCAGGTGGCAGAGGAGGGCCTTCCCTCCAGCATGCACACCTGCCAATGTTAATCAGCTGACTATTTAAGGGCTTCCAAGATGGCATGTCTCTGTCGGATAAGTCATATTGCTCATGGCTCTGCCGCCAAGTATTGAATTCTTCTAGATGTTCCATGTTTCATGCTTTACGTTTTTTTTTTTTTTACCTCACCATTGTAAGTAGTTTTTCATTGTAATTATTTGCCATGGTTTTTTTTTTGTATAACACGCGTTTTTTTCTTTTTTTTTTCTATTTATTGACAGGTTATTTCTGTTTATATTCTGTCTTTGCCTTTTGAAAGCATTTTGGGTTGTGTTGTTTTCCTGGTGTTTTACCGGCGTCCTTTGTTCTACTTTGTCGGTCTTGCGACCAATTTTTTTTTTTTTGTAAATAAACCTTTTTGTAAATTCTTTCTGAGTTCACGTTTCTGGAGTACAATTCTGTCCGTAACCTTCAGGAAACCCTGACGTTGTTGGTTGACAGACAGAATACTTGTACCTCCAAAAGGACACAACATTTTGGCTCTCCTTTTTACTGTCTATCTGAAATGGTAGACCAGACCCAGTGTTGCAAAAAAAAAAAAAAGTCTGCCTTTCAAGCCAGGAGACACTCCAGCTAAGCATTATAGAATATGGATGAGTGGAACAATTAATTAGCCCCAAATGGCTGACTTATGGTTAGTGCATATCATGAGGAATTTAATTACTGTATTTACTTATACACAGCAGTGAGCAATAATTGCAGAGAGAACCGAAAAGGTCATCCCCACATTATGTGACATCTGTGTTGCCGTTTTGGTTCGCAACAGATTATGCTAATTTCAGCAGCTAACCCCCATAATGACTGTGTTAACAATAACGGCAATAAAAGTAGCCTAAGGTTGTGGGAAGAGAGCTCTCAACTATTAACCCATAAGAGCCCAGACCCATTTTTCCAAAAGGTTTTGATGGGTTAAAATCAGACAAAAAGTTTTGAAAAAAGATACTGGGGAGTTCAAACTGTTTGTTACACTGGTGTCACCGTGGACTCTCAACTATTAAAAGGCCACAATTCATCGTGTGGAGAATCCAGGAAAATTGTAAAAATCAATCAGCAAAGATTGGTATTTACAGGTGTTATGTTTATTAAAAATACACTGCATTCTACATACACTTTATCCGAACATCACATTGAAATAGAATGACTTGCAGCGAATGCCATGAAGGAATGACATACTTGGTGAAGTAAAGTGAACAATGAATATGAAATCGAATGAAGAGTTTTGCAGCGAACGCCATGGAGGAATGAGATATTTGGTTAAGTTAAGTGAACAATGAATATCACAATTCCATATGGGCTCACAACAAACAAAAGAGCTGGAATGGAAAAGGTGAAGAATATCATTGGAGCTGAAAGATGATGACAGCTACATAGAAAATGTCTCTGCCGTTTGTTTGTATTAGAAAACTCCCATTTTCCTCTCCAACATTTCCAACAGCCATTTGTGATCGAAATTCTTTTGCCGTTTTTTTATTTTTTTTATACACTTTAACCTCAACAGTTCACAATTGGTAACAAAATGAATAGAGCTCAGCATGGTGTTTTGCAGAGTAATTTCAATCGCTTCGAAAAGAAGAACAAAATGTCTATCACGATAACTCCGGAAAGACTATATGCCGACGGACGTAATTATTTCAGATCAAAATGAAATCAACATTATGATTACTAATCATATAAATATCACAATATTCAGTGCTATTTTGAACAGAGAATAAATTAGGTAATAAAACTCTATATACATAACACTGTACATCACACCACAGCCAGAGACGATGCGTTTTCCAACCTACTCCAGAGAGCATAAATTAAAATCAACCGCAGGCACTAATGGCAACCACAAGACCTCACCACCATATTTCGATACTTTTTGAGAATGACGTTTGAGCTGTCATCAAAGTAAAGCACCGAAATAGCATTGAGTTTGGTCGGGGCGCAGCACGGCTTTGGCACATTGTCAGGAAACATTAAATGGACCTATAAAAGACAGCAAATAAAGTGGGCTTCAGAAGAGGTAAGAATGTTGTCATTTTGCAAATGAATTACGGCGGTGGCAAACATGGCGGTGACATTTACGCTGACTGTGTTTGCCGTGAACATGTGGAATGAAGTTGAGTGGGAACTTACCAGAGTTTGGACAATTGCGTGATTGGTTGCGTTCATGTGTGCGTTGAGCGGAAATGAACATTCACCGTCACAGTAAAAAGCGGCGTAGCCTTCAGGCGCTATAATCCAGTCCTGCAGTGCAATGACAGCGGTCATCTCATTTGATCACTGGTGACAAAATAACCACTGTTGACTCCGCTGAAGGCCGTTAAATGGTTTTGTCTTACCTGCCAACCCAAGTCACGAAAGCTGACATAAAGCTCGTGCTTCTTGCAGGCTTGCTTTTGTTCACTTGTGTTATAATCTGAAATATAGACCGTTTTTTTGGTTGTTGTTGTTTGTTTGTTTTTAAAGCAGGACATATACAACAAAAAGCAATTAGCACAACTAATGAGACTTAGAGCTACAGTCAGGAACAACACTTCTCCCATCGAGCCATCAAAATGAACTTCAACTGTTATTATAAGTTCCAGTTGAAGCATATCGTTGCTTTAAAAACATTTGGTGCATGAAGTTGTCAAGCTTGAAAGGGTGGGCGTTTGGACAAATGCCAATTTTATGACTGCATATGTGTCGTGTGCAATACAACTTTAACCCATTTTGTACGCACATGACCTGTTAAGCGACTGCAGACGAGTCATTTCTTATACACGAGGCAATGGTGGCATCAAAAGAGTGAAATACTGTTTTGTGCAAAATCTGAAAAATTGATGTTGGCCGTCCCACCGCAAACTGTGCACGTCCGATATCATCATCTAGGACGTTTCGACACTGCACATGCACTCGTCAATGGAGGAAGCACACATGCATATACTTACTCTCCTTATGTAAGGACGTCAACAACATACAAATCAGTGGCGAGAATGTGTTTTGGAGTTATTATAACTTACATCTGCAGTATATTGTATCGGTAAGCGGCCCTTCTTGTATGAGTTTGAGTTTGAGGCTGATTATCAAATGTCAAAATCTTTACGAAAGACGCATTACATGGAACTCATCGGTGCAACTCAGCCAACAAACCGCACTATGTGCGAGCCAGCCTCTCCTGTAGTTACTTCTCAGCATGTTGCTGTTGGCAACAGTAAAGCAACCGGTGCTGAGTGGTTAGGCCCAACAAAGCCTTCTCTGTTGGCCTATATATTAGAAGTTGTACATTTAAAACTTCAATTCTAGTATTTGCCCCATAAAACAGTATTACTTCTTCTCTTCATTCCATAGTGTCTCCGTTGGCTGCACCGCTTCCACGATATGTGTGGATGGTAGAATTTTTTTGTTTCTATGTACTTTTTGGACAATCAGATTTCAGCCTCTATCCATTACTATGTCACTCTAATTTGCCCAGGTCCTTCAGAATCAATAGTGTCGGCTGATGGGTTGTTTTTTTTTGTTGCTGTTTTTTTGAGAGGACATTGAGGGCCACTACAGCAAAGTGGAGACTGTGGACTATAACCCTGCAATATCCAGGGCAAAGTCGGAGCAACATGGTAAGATAACGTCAACATGTCAACTTGAAACATTAGAATACGGCTGACCGGGTTTCAAAAATGCTAGGTGTTCGCGGCTTGTTTTGCCAATGGAAAAGCGTCATCACGAGCAGATCTGCGAGTGCCAATTATGTACCGTACCTCCAGTTTTCGGTGCCCTTGATGATTCCTGTTGATGAGTTGATTTATTGCGGTTGTGGTTTTTCTTTTTCCCACCGGCGGCTCTGACGGAGCGAAGCAACACCCCGCTGGCCTTGAAGAAAGCAACCAGGAAGGGCTGCTGGGACTGAGGCCCATTGCGCCCCACAATGCCGGCGGACTTCATGTTGATACTGCGCCCTTCAAAACATCACAATGACAACATATGTTGAGGACGAGAGAAGGAAGGACAAGGACACTCCATTGGTCTGTTAACATAATGAGGCAGTACATATGGTACATGTTAAATGTACTCTAAACATTAGAGGCGTTTCCAAAAACACTAGGGACGGTCTGACTGACATTTTAACAATACATGTTCATTCACGTGATTGCCATTTGTATCGGTCTATGAATGCAGAGCATTATCCTCGCAGCTGCCTTACAGATTTTGATGAATCATATTTATATCACATCTTTGTATTACTTTCTGCTAGAAGATGCTGCTGCATGCGGAAATATGTTTTTTTTTTCTGTTTTTGCTTCCTCTTTATACTCATGCCGTGTTGAGTTGAGATCTTTTTTTGCTTCAGTTCCTTGCACATTATTAACAAGATGCTTTCAAAAGATAGTTTAAAAGTAAACATCAAAACTTCATTTATTATGAGGGGTGAGGGGGGTGTAAGATGACCTCGACATACCATCTAAAGTCTCTACACATAGTTGGAGGCCCAGATTCTGCTGTGGGTTCATCACCCAGTGGTTACTGGTGGCCGTTATGTCAAACACCAGCCAACCGCCGTCAGATGCTTGGACCCTTTTGGAGTCGAGCAAAAAGGTCTCCGCATCTCTGCAGATGAAAGAACATCTATTCACCACCAGAATTTAATGATTGCATACACTTTGAAATGACTTACAACCATTTTTGCATGCAAGGATTCAGTTTGAAAGGGCCGTTTGAGGTTCGTTATCAAGTTTCACTCGTTGTGCTTTTCAGCAGCAGCTCCGCTCAGTCGGTAAAATGAATGCGGGCACTTATTTGCTGCATTACAAACAAATTACTAAACGCTTGGGCTCGCCTCGGCTCTAAAGTAAATAAAAACTTTCTGTGCACCTCGCTATTGCAAAGCCTTAATAGGCGCACGCAGACAAAAAGAAACCATATGGCTCTTTGAAGGTATTCTCGTGAAGGATTGGGGAGGCCTGCAGAAGTCACAAAGCAACAGATAAATGAAGTAACAGAGACTTGCAGTATCACTAATGGATGCCTGAGGTCCTACTCTCTAAAAGGAGCCAAAAGCCACGTTCCGTGTGTCAGAGTCTCCATCTCCTCGGACTGATAACCTCTTAAAACCAAACTATCTTCCTAGAAAGTACCTTTAACATTGAAACCAAAAGATGCACGGTCCATTTTTTTTCCCCCTTTGTTTTGTTTGAAAGCTTTGCGCTGCATCCATGATTGATTGCAGAACTGTGTGGTGAAGCGTGACAGTCAGAAAGAAACACGGTTTTTCCACATGGCCCCAAAAGTTCAAGAGTTAGTCACGTGTTTATTACAGGTGTAATAAAAGCCAACCTCATGAGGAATTCCACATAAATGTACAGTAGTGAACCTAAATCATGCGCTAATTCAGAGTGCACGTGTTGTACAACTGCAGTAGATGATGAAAAGATGTGGAAAAGTTCAAAGGAAAGGAATGCGGATGACTACATTGAAATGCTCGTCAAATTGCTTGTGGGTTTGCTTATGCAGTCCATATAGAGTCGATGAAGCTTTCGCAGCAGTATCATTAAAAGTCGACGTAAATTACTGAGTAAAAACAAATGCAAACAAACAACAACATTTTCTCAACTGGATTGGCTCACGGACTCTAACATAAATCATCCTTACTTAATATTACCAGCTAGTACCATTTTTTTTTCTTAGTTTGTGTGATCGACTTCCAGTGTGGTTTATGTGATTTGGGTTTCAGTAACACAACCTGCAATAGCCTACACCCTGTGAAAACAAATATGCCAACATAAACCTTTCCCCTTTAAGATGGTGGAGTTTATTGACTCTGGCCTATTCAAAGCCCTCGAGGGTCATATCTCCCTTTCGATCACCCACACATTTTTTTTTCAGCAGACCCATGTGCATTCAGCTATGTCACCATTTAAACTTCCGTTATATAGTGGAAACAGGCAGGTATAGTGGGTATAACAGTGACCGTGGGGAGCACTATGGAAGCCCCCGAACCCTCTGATAGGGGCCCTTGCGGTTTTGTCTGGGACTCGGCCAACCAAGCAAGAAACACAAGACGAGTGATAAGTGATGGACCCTCCAAGCTTCATAAGTGGCCAACTTGCTAATGGGCTTCTCTTTATCCGAGAACTATATTTGTAAGGCTGACGTGGTGTGAATGAAGGAGAACAGAGATAGTGATCCAAGGTTGTAAGACAATAGCTGCCACTGTCGCTTGTTTAAAAAAAAAAAAAACGGAAGCAAAAGAAATCCTTTCCAACTGGAGTGATGAAAAGGCAAAATAACGCAAGACTGATCATTTTAATTTATTTCGCGATGTATTCGAAAATGTTTATACCATCACTGTCTGAAAACCTTGAACAACTAATCTCTACATTTATAACTCTCATAGAACAGCAAAAATAAGAATCGAAGTCACGTTTTAGCTGAAAATGATGACAGACTTGCGGTTCCATTCTGGGTCTTTATGTTTGATACTCACTTATTTGGAAACTCCTGAATGACTTGATGAATAGTGACCTTCAGTGTGAGATTGTCAAAGCGGCCATGGCTGCGGTCCTTATAGATGCGAAACTCTGCAGCAGTGACCGCCTCTCCATCCAGGATCTGAGTCAGATCAAAACGGAACTCCTTGTAGTGTCTTCGTTGGTGAGAGAAATCTTTATCTTTCTCCACTAGGAAGTAAAATAGTACAGTGTGAATTTCATTTCTAGAACGGCCAAATACGACATCACACCTCCTGAACATATTGTCCGAAGTGTGTAATTTTTCACATCTTCTTTTACATTCCTGCTCCAATCCAAACATTTTGACTCCCAACAAAAGCACTTTCCACTTCATTAAATCAGTCAAATGAATACAGGTAGTGGTTCCCAGACAGGCCCTCCACTGTGTGCCTAACTGCATTCTGTGGCCATGATGAATGGGCTGTCAGTTAAGAAAAACAGGCTGATTTCAATTAAAGACACTTTTCTGTGCTCCTCATGACAGAGAAGAGAGCAAACGGGATTCCTCAACGTCAGGTGAGGCTCTGCTTGACCTCATTGCTGACCTTGAGTTGACCTTCTTTGGTAAAACCTGAATACAGTAACTCTGTAAATAGTGGCTTCTGATGATAGACATATCTCAATTGATGACAGACACAGACACCTGAACGAATAGTTTCTGTAATAAAACCTCAATATGTCAACCTGATTCAAATTCAGTTGCTAACCAAAACAGCAGCACTGGATTTCATCCAGTGGGTGCAATGAGTTTGTTCCGCACCCTCTGACTCTTGCCATTTCTCTGCTTTTTCTGCATGACAGTATTTTTTTTTTTTGCTTCAAACCTCACTTCAGACATCATTATTTATTTGGTATCATCCAACCATTTACTTTAAAGCTTGCTCTCATTAAGGTCGTGGATGAGCCGATCCTAAGTGACATTGAGCGAGAGGTAGATTACGCTGTGGAAAGGTTTTCAGATCAGCTACACAGTTATCATATGTATTTATTTCATATTAATATAAATTTGGACAAACAAAGGCCTCTTCCGCTGCTTGTAAGGAATAGTGAATATGAAGAGGTGATCTCTATTGTATTATACATGATCATCCTACATTTTCTGTATAACAATATATGTAATTATAACTAAGCACCAACATAAATACTTGTGAAATAAATTGAAAATGGTTGACCTCAATAAATGCCTAATAGGCTTCTCCGATCCAAGAAAAAAAGTCGACAAAAATGTGATATGCCTGAAAGGTTGTGGACTGGGATGTACGACGTGACAACCCGCAGCCTTGCTTGCGCAGTTGGATTGGCTGGCATCTGCAGTGCACTTGAATATTTTTTTATCGTGAGCAATCAGTGCACTTTAATGATATCTTTTACCGTGAGCATTCAGTGCACTTTAATGATATTTTTTATCGTAAGGGGACGCCTGCGGCTACTTAGCACAAACAGGTCAGAGGTCAGGTCTGACTCTTTTCCCTGCTGAGTGTGTTCCATTAAAGGAGCCACAGGCAGTAATTTGAAGCAGAGGAGCCACCGACCATTAAACATTCCGCTTTCAAGTGGAGAAGAGTTCAGTGATTCTGATTAAGGTGGCCTGAGCCCGGTCTTGATCAATGCGATGCTTTAAAGATTCATCAATAACTGTCTCAACTTTTCTGTAAACTAGCAGATTTACGATAAGCCCTGTCACGTTGTGTAGAGCAGTTTGTAAGAGAGCCGTGGCTATATTTGAGTGTACTGTAATAAAGACAGAGGCCCATTGAACACTTCACTGACAGTCACCAGAACGAGAGCAGAGTTTTTAAGGCTGACAATGTACATGCCCCGGTGGAGCGTTAAGTGGAAGCAGATGGGCTCGGGCCAAAGTGAGTTACTGCCAACCAACTCCACACAAATTCACTACTACTGAAAAATAAAACATTGAACATGTCAGCAACATGCAAAACCTTGCAGAGATAATCTTGTGGGACAATCACCGTCCAATTAATGAAGCGCATCTTGACACTTATGAAGTCAAGGTATGCGTCAATATCAGCCTCTGCCTTCTCAAGTTTAAATGGCAGGAAATAATTAAGACCAATTTTCTCAAGGTCAGACAGTCATCTGATAAGTCGCACCGAACTTCAGGCTCAAAGGTCACAGCTACTGAACAAACACACCAATTATAGAGATCAGCAGTCTTTTGCACCAAAGCAGTAGAAATGCACGCAATGTTGAACGGCATTTGAACGCTAAGACCGAATGACTCGAAGTTCACATCCCACAATCACCGAGGAAATTATATGCTCATTCTACACACCATATTCAAATTTTTAAAAAAGCCCGAAATGCGCACATATTTGTTTAACCAAACTGTCAAAACATTCCCTCGGATGCCAGCTCAATCCTGTACATTATAAAACTGCATGACAAATTTTATTTATTTATTTCCTGTTTTCTAATCGGTGGTATTTAATTTGAGGTGTTGTTGCATTTAGATAAACTCTGTGACTTACCTATATTGACAAAACTCATCACCATATCGGCGTCATTGAGAAAGTGGTTGTCATGCGCTATGCTGAGCGCCGGGCTTTGACCCAGCAGAGGGGCCGCTCGGTAGGACTGGGCCACACGGGAGTAGCCCACATGCTGGGGGCTATAGTAACCCTTCCTGGAGTGCCCTTGGGCCTTGGCAATGTGGCTCTTCCCTGCACCTTGCGGCACCCCCTCTTCCTCCACGGCCATGGCGTTGTAAAGGTCGAGCATGAAGAGTGGAGCGGAGGACGCCTGTTTCCCGGGAGAGAAGGGCCTCGGACGATGAGGTAAGCCCAGGATGGAGAGGATCTCCCTCTGGATCTCCCGTCGTTCGTGATTGCGCAACTTCCTGTAGATAAAACTGGAGTGCACATGGTTGTCACTGAAGGCGCAATGAGCACAGGACAGAAAAGTTAAGCAACTCCAAGTAAGTCCAAGCACGGCACGGCTCCGAGGGGACATGTTGCTCACGTCAGGCTCACAAGTTCAACCACATTGCACTGTGTGGAAGACCTTGAGCAGATATCCGGAGTGGAATCATGGACGCATGGATGAAGCAGCACAGCGTCCAGGCTGGTAACGGAGGAGAACTGAGAGGAGACAAATGAGGTATCAGCTTGCAGCCAAAGCAGCACTCCTCCGTTTCCTTCTCCTGCTCAACTTTGTACTCATCCACGGTCCATCCAAAGCCTCACTGTCTATTTATGGACTTGTGACAAGTCCCTCACCTCACGCCTCTTTGATGAAAAAACCCAAAACAAAACAAAAAAGCAAAACAAAACATATAGCTACTCCCAGAAAGGTAGGCAGGAGTGTCCTGGGGATGAAATTGTAGTGGAAGAGTCAACTTTTGCCCCTGCACTCACTTTTCTCCCCACAGAGAGAGGGAGAGAGAGGGAGAGAGAGAGAGAGAGAGAGAGAGAGAGAGAGAGTGGTGGGGTGCATGTTACCCTCTGAGAACATCCCACACTCCACTTTTTGTTTGTGCATTCACCTCTAGAGGCCGCAATAAAAATGTCACAACCCCACTCCCACGGTGAATGTGTAAACGGAGACACTTGAAATTCGAGCGCCCGTCCTAACGAGTGAAAGAATAGTGGCCGAGCCTTTTAATCACCTCGACTTATTGAAGTCACTATGACTGCAGCACTCACACACAATGCACTGGAAGCAGGTTCTATACTGAATGGCATGACAAATGGCCCACTGAGGAGATTTTCTTACACTTCAACAACAACAATTACTATAAGTGTGGTTCGCGGATCTGAACGCTACTACTATGCAACACAGCGCCGGAATAAAGTATTATACATAAAACCTTGTGTGCACAGGACTAAATGATAACCAGCTGCATCTCTATGTAGAATTGCACACCAAGTCAAGCAAAAAAAAAAAAAAAAAACCTGCAATCGGAAAATGCCTTTAAAGAAGCTGCCTTTGATTTTAATCATGATTTCTTTTTTTTTTTTTAATTGTATTAAGATGTTCTCCAAGGTGAAAGAAATGACCTTAGGTTCGATGAAAATGATCAACAGCACCACCTAGTGTAAAATACAGTACACGCACGTCTCTTCTGTCCCTCTATGGAACAAGTCAAGAATCTCGTTTACTCGCTCTTCAGAAGACTTAACGTTTGACAAGGAAAAGACAGAGACTGAGGCCAAAAATTGACACCCCGTAAAATTGGGATGTGATGTTATTTCCGGTTGCTCAAAGGTCCTCCACTTTGCATTTGGAAAGTGTTAGGGCCATTTGGAAGGATTAATGGCTGTCTCAGCACCTGCCGTTGAGTTCCATTTTTTTGATCATTTTAATATGGGCAAATATTCGCACAACAGTGGTATCCGTTTCTTGAAATAAAGACAACATAACCTGAAAAAAAACGTTTAATTTGAATATGTTTGAACACAAGGTACAAAATAAAAAAATAATAATACAAAAAGAAATCTTGGCAATGCTAAAAATCAACAATTATGACTCATTATAAATAATAAAAATAGTTGCTACAGTAATGAAGGGCCCGATAAGTAATTGAAAACATAATTCTAGCCAATATTACAATCATTGTGTAATATCATGGTGATTGGATAGGAAGTGAATTCATGATTAATGCTTTAAAAATAATACCACTGAATAATTAGCTACAGGCAGCCAATTAAATATGTTTGCCTTTTTTTGTTTTGTTTTGTTTTAACAGAAAAAAAACAGTCCACTACTGTACTATACTATTTTGACTTGGAGCATTTAATCATTGTTTCTCAAATTGTTTTTTTTTTTCTTAAAATACGGACCACTTAACAATTCAGTGAATTTATTGTGATCTCTTTTCCCCCTTACCATCCAGTCCTAAAATATGTTTTATGCAATAAACACTAATGAAAAAGAGCATTAGTTATTCTGTTGAAACGACAAGGTGAGTTGGGCTGCTCACAGTTTGGGAAACAACGGTCCACGCCATAATCAGGCCATTTAAGGCTCATTATGCAGCATTCCATCACCAGGGGGCAATCTGGGATCATGTCCCAGCTATACAAACCAAGGACAGTTCAAAGTTAAACTTAGCAAAGAGTTTTGCATTGTATCATTTGTTCATTTTTCTGTCAGGATTTAAATTTCAGAGCAATGCCTTAAGGAGACCAAAGCAGGACCAATTTTATCATGAACATTTTATCATGGAAAAATGTGTGGTGCAATCTCGCCATGCTGATTAGCGAGATCATACACAAAGTCTACACACCAAATTCCAGGTTACTCTAATACAACTATCGGAATGATTTGAAAATATCTTGAAAGTTTTGACTTGGACAATATAAGAGGAAAAAAATCACAAGGGGTGATTTTTTATTCATTTATTTTTTGGGGTGAAATACTTTTTTTGGGTGAAATAATTTTTTTGCGCAAATGTCATGTGCACCAACACTTTTTCACCAAAAAGTATTTGTGAGCACTAATTTCATATGGGAGTCAGTTGGCTTAGTACATATTGACTTGGCTATATCGTACCGCAGATCCCTGCAAAATTGTTCCAACTCTGGCTGATTTAGCATTGGGCATCTCTTATGCACCGTGCGCCACGGGCAACTTTCAACTAGATTTCATCTTGGAGTCTGACTGTGCCATTCCAAAATGTTAATGTTCCTCTGGCAAAGTATTTGGATGTATGCGTTTGGTTGTTATCATTCTGAAAGGTTCAATACCTCTTCAACCTCTCGCAGAAACCTGGAGGATTTGTGCCAATATTGACTCCTTTTTGGAACTACAGTCCTCATAATTCCCTCCACATTGACTAATTTCCCAGTTCCAGCTGAAGAAATATAGTCCCAAAGCACAATATTGCTCCCACTGTACTTCACTGCTGGATATTTTTCTTTTCTTTTCTTTTTTTTTTTTTTTATGGTGTGCAACATTGATTGTGAGCCAATCATACAGTACCTTTTGGAATTGTGGTCAAAGTTCAGCCTTGCTTTCATCAGATCATAAAACAAGAGAATCCATTGCAATAAAAGACGAAGATGGGAATTTTCTGTCACAAGTGTGACATGATGAACAAAGCCTGTCTTTTGCTTGACATTCATGCAGATGCACCTGGAGCTGATGTTCCTGAAATCAGCTCCACAGTCTTATCGAGCAGTGTTTTTCTTTTCATTAATTTGAAACGGACGTCAAACTCTATGTAAAGTCATTGCTATGCCATTTTTTTGTCCACTTGGCAGTTACTTCCTTCTTTGTATTCCATGGTATAGTGCATAAACCGCCTTGGGAATTTTGTACTCTTCTCCTGACATTTGAAAATTATTCATTAGATAACAGAACAAAAGTGGCTTTTTGATGGTTGTATGTAGATTGATTGTCGATATTTAGAAGAGGTCCATTTCTTACTGAGCCAGAGGACAACTGTAAGGATGAGAACTTCCTGAGAATGGCTGTTTGCTTCACACCAGCCTCACACTGGTGGACTTCAGTCAATAGTTTGGTCCTTTGCTGTAGTAGGACCGCCTCATCATGCTACCATAGCATAAGGAGGGGTCACACACCCCAGGCTGGCCAGGTGTGCCGGGTTTACCGCTTTTACCCTCTGCTCCGTTAAGACCAGGTGGTCCAGGTTGACCTGAAGTGCCCGGTTTGCCATAACCCTGACGACCTACAGGACCTGTCAAGATAAAAATGACTTTGTCATCATTACAGGCTAACAACGTGTCAACGTTGCTTCAAATTCTTGAACCAGGTTTTAACGTGTGTTGTTGCCTTCTCTTTTTTCGTTGTGTAGTTTTCGTTGCTGTTGCTGTCTGGTCATTTTGTCACTTTTTGCCAAATAAAGAGAAGACGAGTAACATTCAGACTCTTCAGACTCACCAGTTGCACAGCAACTCACCTCGGGTTCATTCAGACACATCACTTGTACTGCATGACATGCGAAAGGAAAAGCAAGGTGATGAGGGATCTTACCTGGGGGCCCAGGTGGTCCTTGGTCCCCATGTATGGTGCGCCCTGGGCTTCCCTTTTCACCCTTAAGCCCAGGATCTCCTACAAAGGCACATACAATTCTTGTTCGGACATGATGTCAACAACAGGAACAGACTACAATTAATTCTGACTGTTTTTACCTTTTATCCCATTAACACCAGGTAGCCCTGGATGACCACGGTAGCCTGGCTGCCCCCTGGCGCCAGACATGCCAGGGAGTCCCCTAGCACCCTGGGGCCCCGTAAGACCTGGGACGCCAGGTGTTCCAGGAAGGCTTTGGCACCTGGCACAGCTACTTGACTGGTGGCTCAACAACATTGACGGCAGTTCAGCTACGATAATTGTAAGAGAGGATATTTCATGTGAATATTTGGAAACGATTGCTGACAAATAAAGAGGACTCAACGCACTCACACTGAAGAATTTCTCTGCAAACTTGTCGAATGTGCATGTCTGAAATGTCAGCCGCCTGTAGTGATGCAAGTCACAAACATGAACATGCACTTGCACATCATGAAAAATACACCGGTGGTCAATGTGTGCAAGACGTACAGAGCTTCCTGCCGGGCCAGGTTGTCCGGCAGGACCCGTGTCGCCCCGAGGGCCTCGGGGTCCCGTTTGTCCCGCCTGACCTGGCTGTCCAGGGCGGCCCATTTGACCTTCCTGGCCTCTCTGACCCGGATCCCCTGTTGTCCCTTTCTAGCAAAAACACAAGGCGAGTGTTAGAAGTCAACATTATATTGGACAAAGGTTTGATGAGAGATCAGGTTCACATACCTCCCCTGTTAGTCCCCTCAGTCCGGGCGATCCCTGTTGAACAAGAAGAAAATGCATTTGGCAATCACAAAGCTCTCAAACTGCAGTATAAAGCAACAGCCAAGGGCAGCACCAGAACCCAAGTACGGGTTAACCACAGTGCCTCTTGTGGCACCTCATCAAAACCAGGCAGACTGCAGTCTAATTCACCCGCTTCAAGTAATACATATACAGTCCTCTATAGCAGTGGTTCTCAACACCAGGCCGTACAGAGAGACTGCACACACTAGTTGAAAAGAAGTTTTGTTTGGGAAATCAGGTGTAGCCTGGTGCTTCGCTATCAAAACATTCATCAAGGTCAAGTGATACAGGTAAATAAAAGCCTGTAACATAGAAAAAAATGAGACCGAAAAAAAGCCGACAACTTCCAAAAAAAAAAAAAAGAAAACTGCTTTTCAGAGTTCATTGTTAGGTAACTCGCACGCATAGAAACCAATCTGTGAAATATGTTAGGAAAGGCTCGCAAGTGACGCAACAAAGCCATCAAAACAGCTTTGGCTTAAGGCGGCCAAGCATCCATTATTAAAAGACACGAATTCGGAGGTTACTGAAAGAAAAAAAAAATCAACATAGCGATGTCGAAAATAACTGAGACATCAAATATAATGATTTATGTAAGCAACTCTCACCCGGTACAAGGTAATGGATAAATTAAAATCTTATGATGTTATGATTAATGAATAAAAGCACACATTATTAATGAAAGAGTCATTCATTGTGGATGTTATTTAGAACAGTGACCCTCAACCACTGTCCGGTGACAAATAAATGTGCCGTGAGATATCATCAGATGTGCCTTGAAAAATAATCTAATTACACCTAACTGGAAGAAAAATGATCTTTTTTTTCATCAATCAATAATATGCCAATGATGTCTACTTGCAGGGAGAACACTTAAATGCTCCTCCACTAGGTGGCAGAAAGTACAATTAACGTGTGCATCCATACTGTCCACCTTCTGCCATTCACGAGACTAGAGAATAAGTGTCAGCAAGCACACTGAGGAAGTATATTTGGGAGTAAATTGAGATGAGATCATCGTTATTTCGGGATTCTGTCAGATTTGTCTGCTGGTGTGCTGTGAGATTTCTTCCTCATGTGAAAAATGTGCCTTGGCTTCATAGAGGTTGGCAAAGACTGCCTTATGAAACGGAATGGGTCAAAATGAACTCACGTGATTCCCTGATTTTCCATCTGCTCCCTTTTCACCTTTCATTCCCTGAAAATAAAACAAATTCAATCGTTTGTACTCAAAATACAGGAAGATGTTAAGACTTTATCTCTTTATTAAGCACAGCATTAAATGTAAATCACAGTTTCAATCGCTTTTAAATGATTGGCGGCTCAATTCTCAAAACTGTTTTGCTGTTTCAGAGACTCTTGAAGATATTTTATTCATACAACAATCTGAGCTTGTGTTTTACTGTCGGGTTGATGGGTACGCTTTCGTTCATGTGTGTTGTTTTTGATGCCAAGCCAAAGTTTTATTGTCAGTAATCCAAAACTCAATCAAAATAAGTTGAGCAAATTCTGAGCGAAAGCTGGCAAGATCCACGCAGACTGTGAATTGTGGAGTTCAACACTCAAGTATTAAATGTTCTTTTTACTAAAAGAAACCAGCCATGGAATTTTCAGTCTTACCAGATCTCCTCTTACACCTGCATATCCCCTTTCCCCCTAACGGAATAGACAAGAGTACATTTCAGAGTGAATAAACTGAAAGGAAAATGTTTTACATTATTTATTTAGTTAGTTTTTTTAACTGTATCTCTTCGTACATATGCAAAAATGCACCAAGCACAGGACTAACAGAACGGAATAGGGATGGCACAAGGTGTCCATTCGTAATACTCAGATAGTCTCATTTTAAATACCTTGCTTCCCTTTAGGCCGGGCACCGCTGGGTGTCCGGGCTGACCCGCTTGTCCAGGATCACCTGGTCTACCCTTTAAAAAGCCAAGCACAGGAAATTAGCAAAGAAGACTTATTTACATTCTTTGTTTTCAGATCCAAAAGACTGTACACAAATGTTCACGTGTCATTATTTATCAAAAGATAAGTGACAGTTGAAGCATACCATAGAACCTGGCATCCCTTGTTTACCCGGACTTCCATTTTCACCCTTACTGCCCTGTGAAAACAGTTACAGGTCGCAGAACCACATTATTCGTGACATGGTGCATTACAGTTACCGTATTTCTTCAAATAATGAATGTGTGCGTTTCACTATAGCTGGAAGACGCCAATCGAGGGGATGTTTGTTACAGGGGCTCCTTGTGTTTGGACACACATTTTGGGAATGACATGAAAATATGTAAGAAGTATATACAATTGACACGAAGTGAAACTGGACAAAACAACATGACGGTGAGATGAGCTAAATGACACATTACAAGAACCAAGGGCAGACTGGGCTGAATAATTCAGTTATGTAGCAATCTTCCTGGAATATACAGAAAATATACGGTATATGCATGCAACATGGTGGAGTGAGCACATTAGAATCTACTGTAACTTTGACACTGCACAGAATGCAAGATCATCTTTAATACTGCGCAGGAACGTGTTTGCAACATGGGGCGAATCATACAGTGTGAAAGACTGTTTGTGTTGCTTTGGTGCTGATGTTTTGATTAGCAATTGAATTACAACCAAGTTTAAATGGCTCAGCAATAAAATTTTTAAAATCCATGTTAGCATGACATGCATGAAGTTTGCTTTTCAGTTCAATCTCTTAAATACACAACTTGATGTTTCACCTCAAAATAAGAATGGAAAATGTTTTACGTCGACATTTCCGTGCTGGATTTAACATTTTATTTTGGTATATTCTTATTTTATGATGAATACCTTTGGGCCAATATTTCCCTTGAAACCAGGTGGACCTGCTGGGCCCATCTCCCCCTGTAAGAGAACAAAGCCATACATTTGAGCAAGCACTTATAATCTTTTAAATTAATGGTCAAACATGAGTTTACAGGTGATCCGTCTGATCCTTGTGGGCCCTTTGATCCAGGAAAACCGGCTTCCCCCTTAGACAAAAATATTCAGTATTAGACAACCATGTGCTAAGTGACTAACTGAATGTACTCAGGTGAGAGAAAAGCAAATACTCACTTTTTGTCCTGTGAGGCCAGCGCTCCCTGGCAAACCAGGCAAACCCTAATAGAGGGGAAATAATCAGATTAAATATACGTATTTAAAAATGTGAAATATAATCCATCCATTCTCTAATCCGTTTATCCTCACACGTGTCACAGGGGGTGCTAGAGCCTATCCCAGCTGTCTTTGGGCAGTAGGCAGGGGACATCCTGAACCAGTTGCCAGCCAGTCTCAGGGCACACACCAAAACGAACAACCACCCGCGCTCACACTCACGCTGTGGGACCATTTAGAATGTTCAATCAGCCTGCCATGTGGGAGGAAACCAGAGTACCCAGAGAAAACCCACGCATGCAAACTCCACACAGGGAGGCCGGAGCTGGAATTGAACCCGGTACCTCCACACTGTGAGGTCGATGCGCCCGTGAAATATAACAATAATAATAATAATATCATATTGCTAAAGTAAACAATTTCCATCCTCATTCATAGATTTAGCCAATATCCACAATAACTGTAGGGATGAACTGTGAATAAAAAAATGCCCTTCTTTCAACTCTTAATTGTACAAAAAAAGTACTTTCAACACAATCAAACAAAATGTAATATGAACATTGTGTACTGTAATAACCTTCAACATATGCGTTGAAAGGGTTGCACATCTGCACACTAATATATACAGTTCTGTCTGTTGCACATAGCAAGAGCAACAAATCTTAGTCATGGACCAAAACTCATTGAAATGATAAATGCGCAGAATGTGCTGATACTCACAGGAAACAAATAAAGCCCTATTTAGAAAACAATGACAGTGATATAATTTTTTGGGTGGTGAACAGCCCTGTTCCTAAATACCAGCAAAAAGCTTTTTGTAGTTTTTTTTTTCTACTGAGATCAAGTCTTCCAGATGTTGAGCGCGAGTCCCTGACAAAGAATCTGGTATAAAAGGCAGTGATCAATCAGATTGGTGAGATTGTTAGGGAAGACCAGCGTACATTGACGCTGATTGTGTTGTATTGCGGAATAATTTGTGTGGGTTTGTTGGACTTTTTGGAGCAAACTGAGGATGCTTTTCATGTACTAAATCAGTCTCTGTGGACAGCCTCTGTTCATGGGTGCCTGGGGATGGCCTGGAGCCTTGTGGAGCATGTGAGTCATGTTTTATAGACCCATCATAGACTCTGGACAAGACTTCTAATCATGAGCGGTGGGATTGTGGCCCAGTTGAAACACTCCCAAAGCAGAATTGCCAGAGCAGCACAGCTTTCCCTCGATTAGTCATTTTATGGCTTTTGTTTAGAGCCAGTGACTTCTTACATAACAGGGTTGTCCTGGGATGGTTTACAGGGGGAATACCCTTATATTTCTACATTGTCACATGGACTCTCCATACTTTCACCCAATGGCGTTAAACAGCTGTCAAGAACATGCAGTTTGTATAATCCATCAAATAAATTGCTACGAACAAATTCCGTTTTCACAATCTTGTCAGAATGCTTCCTGGCGCTACAGTCCCCTCCAAAATTCGAACACTGAGAAACAAGAACATTTCACTTTTCAATATTTACATCGGCATCAAATCCACAACTCAAACTATAGCACCTTTGGTCTGAAACAAAAAAAGATATATAGTTGAAAATGTGACTGACTGTGTTATAACATATTTGTTACTCAGGCAGGTCCTGTTACATTGATTATTGAACAATAGTATTGAATGGCTATCCTATGTTTCATACATGAGTTTTGCCTGTAAAGATACATTAACACAAGTTAGCAGTGGGAGAGAAGCTATGCCATTGCCAATATCACCATTTGTAATACAAATTAACAACTGCTGTGCTACGTAACAGATGTCAAAAAAGTAGAACAAAGAAAACAACAGCCTTGGATGACCCAAACTTTTGAAAGCTAAAAAGAAAGTCTTCCAAACACATCAAAACGTCCTAGTTACTAAATAAATCCGAAATAGCAGATGCTAAATTGCGTGTTCACTCACTAACAGATTGCGCACACTGCTTGTACCAGGTGTAAAAATGGTGGAGGCCACCATATGTAAAAGAGGGATTTGCACTTTAGGTGACAATGATCATTTTCACCATGAACATGTGCAAATGCATTACTGAAATACAGAAAATAAATCAATCGCTCCAGTAATTTGAGGGAAGCCAGTGAATACACGAAAGCCATATTTTGTCTGATTTCCAGTTTTTGTGCATGTCCTTTGTAACATTACATCTAAGACTTGGGATCGCACCCCAGAAAACTGCTATCAATAGTCAACGTCCACTGAAATGAGCCAAACCCAAAGGAATGCGAATTGAAGGGAGTTTTGTCAGGTGATAGGGCATTGATTTAAAAAAAATAATAATCTGCACTAGATCATTCATAAGATACAAAATGGCAAATCTCAATAGACAATGCATGTATGTCTCATAATTTTTATTGGCATTTAGAAAATGCCACCGCTTTGTGTGCTGGTTCGGCGCTGTCTTTCAGATGTGGTATTTAAACACACAAGGATAGAGCAATTCCTTCCAGGTTTCATCAATCACATTGCATATGCCAAATTCATTTATTATTTGCTTATACTCCTACCAATGAATGAAAAATTATTCTGTCGAGTGATCCCGCATAAGTGATCCAATCTGAACAAAAAGCAGTGGTTGCTAAAAATAGGAAAGTAGAAAATAGCAGGAAGACTCCTGAAAGGTAAAAGACAGTTTACGAGTTCATCAGCTAGCTAACCAGGCAATGAAGCATACCGTAATGTTTCCCATGGTTGCCACAGTAATGCACAGTGCCTTTATGGCAGAGTGGTAAACAGTTTTATGTCATTAAAATATCCTGAGACTGCGAATGAAAAACCTTGAGTGCTTGGTTTGAAGTGCAGAGTGGAGAAGTGGTCAGTATGAGAGCTAGCGCTATCACTCTTGGCTATGGAATCAGCCATCATAAATGTTTCCGACAAATCCGTCCACAGTCGTTTTTCATATCTTTGGAGCTGCTTAGTGAGAGTAGCACAACATTCATCGTGTTGTTCAGTGTGGAAACTTAAGCCGGGAGGAACTGCTTAATCCTTAGCCTGGTTAGCGAGTAGACTTGCCACCTTTCAGATCGGGAAATAAGGGAATCAACTCATTTCACCACACGTGCCAACATGTGTGCATGAGCGAGGACAATAATGGGCTTTCTTTATTTTCACTGGGATCACAAGACATTATTTATCTCCCTTTAGTCATTCATTTGTTTACGTCTTATTCCGTGAGTGAATATGGGTCGCCGAAATTAAGAAAACTTCAAGCAGAATTGGTTGGCCATAAATTGAAAAGGGATCGGAGTCTATAAATGATACAGTTCACCCTTTTTGCTTCATATTGATGTGATGAAAGATACACCATACTTTGATCCGAGATTTTTGAGACAGGCAACAGTAGCTTTTTCTGTCTGGTGACTCAACGGGACACGAGCATTCAAAGTTCAACATCTCGAATTGCAGACTTCGAAAAGAGAAAAGTTCCCCTGAGAAACTCGCTGGAACCCCCAACATCTTAGAGGTTTGTAATAAACGTTTCGGAAAAGTTATAGCATTTAATACAGCGTACACATGACAATCCTGCAAGATAAAATTATATGTATTAAAAAAAAAACACTGCAGGTGCAGGTATGACTCACCATATGGCCATCCCTTCCATCGAGACCGGGGATTCCATTCTCCCCGCTTTCTCCCTTCAATTAAAAAAAAAAAAATAATATGAAGAAAAACAACGGATGAAGAATTGTCTAGGAAGACACACAGAAATCACACAATAGCCTCAAAATGACCAGATTCTACTCTACAGATTAAATTGACTTGTGCAATTATGATTTCAATTTCCCTTGCAATATCCAGTTTACTAAAAGCACAGTAATCGAAAACTGGGGAAAGGTTATTGCCAGATCTGTCATTCCCATGGCTGCAAAACCTCAACAGCAACTTTTGGGAACACCAAAGTCTTGTTGGAACTTGCACACTTTGCCACACGGTCTGAATAATTTAACTAATCATTCAATGTTTGCAAAATATTAAAAAAAAAAAAAAAAAAAAAAAGACCTTTAGACCAGGTAGCCCAGGAAATCCATCCTTTCCATCTCTTCCAGGTTCACCCTTTAAAGACCACAATAGGTTATAAGACACTAATAAATGGAAGAAACGTATTCTGTTTGTTTTTATACATACGGGTACTCCTCGATAACCTGGAGGCCCGGGTTGTCCAATACTTCCTTTCTCTCCCTGTAAATCAGTAATAGTGCAAACAACCACAATTAAATCGGTGATGGTGATAGACTTGGTATTAACACCCTCACCGTTTGTCCGGCTTTACCCGCCATCCCTACTCGTCCGGGTGATCCAACCGGTCCCTGACAGCAGTGGAGATTTGGAGAGATTATGACAAGCAATGATTCCAACATTTCTTATCTTGACGAGGCTCCTTTCTCAAGTGATTCCATTTTCAGTCCAGTGACAGTTTGAATGGCGAAAGGCCATGACGGCTAACTGCACTGCCAAATAAGTATTAGCATGGCTATTCTTGCTTTTTTTTTTTTTTTTTTGCAGAAATACATTCACAAATCCGGATATTAATGTTTAAATTGGAGACTAAAGTCGACTGGAGGTTGCGTGATTCATGTGGTTCGTTCACTGTTGGATTTAATTCAGTGCAGCTGCTTTTTAAATCCCGATGGTGTCATAAGGATGAATTTATTTCCAGTTACTGGGAGAATAAGTTGCCTATTTTATCATTGTGGGTACAGTCCTGACAAATGTGACATTTGATTGCACTGGCATCTCCTGTCTTGCCTTTGGATTTACTGTAAATTCAGCAGTTTTAGATCCATGCGCTTTAGATCGGCATAGACATTCGCCAGGGACACAAAGTTTCCACCATTCGGTGGCCATTCAAAATAAGAATAATTTACAAAGGCAGATGTTGCAGATGTTCTTGCATGCTGTGGGAATGGTGCTCGACATATCATGGAAAATCCCTAGAAAATCCCTGTCAACGCTTAGCTCGACATTATGGGATATTTAAAGATGACTTTTTATTGCTCTTCCAAAGGCAGAAGAATACAAGAACAAGACTATGTAACAAGAAATGGGACAGCTCGCGGAAAAGTTCATATCTCAAGCAAGCACCACATCACCTGACTAAACCACTCCTGTGATAAAACCACAATGGATCCCACAAGATATCTATTGGATGTCATTCATTCAACTACAAACCATAGTTTTTGTTTGTCGTAGTAGGTGGTTTTACCTGATGGCTAAATTGCAATTGTTTAAAGATTTCAGGCATCCTGTCTATAATACAATAAGTCCAATAAAATTACAATTGACGACACAGTCGAACAAAGTGCTACAATTCTACTCTTATCAAGATAAGTGGACATTTCTAATCACAAAACATTCATTGGTGCCTGGATATTTGAAACTGTCAGTGGGGTCCAGTCTATGAAAAAATAAAATAAATACCAGATCACAATGAGCACCTCAGCCTAAGTGCTAAGGGTTCAATATTTAAGTGGACACCAATAGCCATATATGTTATTCAGACTTTAAGATAAGCAATAATATTGATTTAGGGCATGGTTCTGTATCTTCTTTCATTGTGAGGGTAAAGAGAACGGGACGGTTATCAACCTGAGACGCCACCGACTCCAAGCTGCTGAATACAAGACATATTCTTCGCCGTCTTGATACAGATAATTTGTTATACGGTGATTTGAGGCCCCTCTTGCTGCAGAGTGGGAGTGGATGTCAAAGAGATTAGCCTGTCAGACTCTTCTCCGTGGGGGCAGGAAGTGTTTTTTTAAGAACGCATTGGTTTCCACAAGAACTGTATCTCAAGCTGTTACAAAATAGGTGTCCTCGTTTCCTCTGTGTTTGTCTTTAAATCATGTCTTTATTGGATCTGTACCTAAGACGTACGTCAGCTCGGGCTATGGAAATAACACACACGAGAAAAAAAAAAAAAAAAAAACGGCATAGGCTGGGCTTTTTCGGGGATACTGCAGGAATGAAATCCAGTTAAATCTGAATGCCAAGTCACAAAAAACAAGTTAGAAGGCGCTTTCCATGTGGAGCAGATCCAGGATCATCCTCCCCACACATTGAAGAAGTCCAACGAATCCCACATGAAGATGCGCTTTGGCAACAGAGGCAAGGAAAATCTCCCAAGCACACAACAAAACCTTGAACACAACCAAGACTCACAAAGTCAGCAAATACAACCCAATTTTAAATGTGTCTTGCTCTCAAGGGATCTGCTTTTATATTGAAAACACATGGCGACAAGAGAGATCGATGCAACAGCGTCAAACAGTGAATGTGTCTTGCAGAGATTTCCTGTTAATTCACCAGTTTATCATCAGAGAAGCATCCAATTCACTTTGAACTGATGTTTGTATTGCTCCGCTCACAAACAAGTCCTACATCTTGTACGCTGTACAAAGTTATGTTAATGTTTGCTCCCTGTAGTTTGGTTAAAATTAGTTCCCGGAGCTTCATAGGCAGCCTTATTTGCAACAGCTGTAACCTCTACTGATGTGTTTGTTTCATTTGGTTTCATTTAAGAGTAACATTATCTCCCATTGTTCAGCAGTTGTGGACACGACAGTTCGGGTTTTACACTACATGTTTCCTGTGATCCAACTCGGATTGTTTTCTCACTTGAGGCCAATGTGTCTTGAAGAATCATAAAGAGGGAAAAAAAATGCTTTCGGCAGTTGAATGGTGTCGACTCATAAGTGCCCACTCAAACGCAAGTAAATCATGTTGCAAAAGCTAAGAGGCTAAACCTAATAAATGTCACTAAAAATTAAGCGCAAAGCAAATTGGGCCAGTTCTATGGTATTCTGCTTCAGGATGGCTAATCCTCCCTCTTCTGCACCCTGTTGGCTAGCATTTACGCGGCACTGCGTTTGTTCACCTGTCAGTACAATTGCGCATGTCATCATATCACAATGAATTATTTGGAGCTCCCTCACCGTATCATGTTTTTATTTCGTTTTGTTGCTGTTTCAGTGTATCGCAGATTTTTAAATCGTATAGATCTAATTTTGCGTGGTGGATTTTTCACTATAGCTACTGTGGGATTTTGTGGAGGTAAAAATCCACGCAGACCGTTACTGCAGATTTACACAGCAATAAGTGCAAACCAAGAGGAAAGAGTGTGTAAAAAACGGAGTAAAGTGTAGGATCATTTCACACTTTAAAAAAGAAGAAAAAATAAGCGCAATTCTGTTTATCTACTGCAAGGCAGAACTGTCTTACCCAACTTCACAACGGTAAAATAAGCATTAGCTCATGTCATTTAGCCTAGCAGCGCTAGTTAGTATCTCAACAAATAGTCTTGGATACAAACGTCATCACTTTCTTGAACAAACGATGGAAAAACTGCTGATGGTCACAATTTCCGAAGAATAACGAGCAGATTGGCTTACGGTTAGCCACTTAACAGCACACGCTATCTTGACCTAATTTTGCACTGTCATTCGCTCACGCTGACGTGACTCAAGTGGCTAAGACACAAGATTGTGACATGAGTGATAATCCATCTAGTGAGTTGTCTGTTGGGTTGGACTCCAGCTTCTCCATGACCCTAAAAAGATTGAATAAAGAATATGAAAGGATCCATAGATATTAATACCTTCTCTCCAGGTTGTCCAGGTGTTCCTGTTAATCCCGGTACACCTCTTTCACCCTAAGTGAAAAGAAAGGGATTAGAAAATTGGATTTGTTCAGGGCTACAGATGATGAGCAAACAGTAATGCCACAAATGAGTTTTTTTGACCTTCCTACCGAAACACCGGGCCTGCCCTGCTCCCCTTTCAACCCATCTGCCCCACGCTGACCCTGACGAAACAGAACACACATTTTTACAATGTATTTTGTGACTGCATTGATATTGTCATTGGAATATTGATCACCTTCATTCCTGCCACACCAGGAAACCCTGGACTTCCTCTAATGCCAGCCACTCCCTTTGTTTGGGAAAACATACACAAATATCCACTTAGTTAAACCTACTTGACTGATCATGTCTTCAGTGACACATTTTGATTATGAACAAATTAGCACTTATTATTATTATAAAATTGTGTTTCAGCGGCTATTTTTTCCTTTTAACCTGTTGGAAACGTGTGGTTGTTTTATTATTATTATTTTTTTGTATGTATATTGAACTATGTAGTACTCACAGGCTTACCATCAGCACCAGCACGTCCAGGCAGACCTGCTTTGCCACCATTTCCTGGTTCACCCTATAGAAAACAGGATGAGCACTTTCAATGGCATATGCGAGTTTTGACAGAGCCTTTCAGACCGAGTAATGACCTACCGACGACTATCTTATATGGTGGCAAACATTACATTACATTCATTGCACGTTTCCTCAAGGATAAACCGAAATATAAAGGCAACTTGTCTTGCTGTAGTTAATACATATTTTAATTGTAATAAACATGTCAACTTGTACTTCGAATTCACTGCAAACACAACACGCAGTAACCAGTAAACGTAGACGTCCTCGATACTCAAATCGTGTTGGTTGCAGTAAACATGCAGCAGTTAATGTTAAAATAGCAAAAATGTCTGTGAGGCATTTTTGGAATATTCAAAAGGGAGAATACGAAACTTTATTTGGAAAAACTGACCTTCATGCCTGGATGTCCTGGAGGTCCCGGAGGACAAACACAAGGTTCTTGAGTTGGCTCAGCATAATCTGGACTGTTGGAGCACTGCCGGAGCGAAAAAGGATCTTTTATGTATTCAGATTTATATTTAGATTTACGTCACATCCGTCATCAAATTATAGTCGAGCTATCTTGCAGAAAATTAAGATAGCCTATAAAAGGGGTGGGCTGTCTCTTGTATGATGCTTCTTAGTACAGTGTGTATGTTTGTATATTCACAGTCACAGTCCAATGTTGACATCAGTGCAATGTCGTTGTTTTATTTCTGTATGCACCAAATATGAAGGATGTTTTGCTATCAGCGCAAAAGTGCTACAAGTGGAAAAGTTAACTCCTGATTGTACCATAGAAATGTTTTATTGCAAAGCAGATTGATAAGTTAATGAGAAGCAGATGCATTGCAAAGCTGTAATGATTGGCAAACATCTGTAATTTAAGGCTTCTGAAATTGTCTCCCCTAGTAATGTAGCAAGACTGCAATAGGGAGTTCCAAACAACATAATGATGGGAGACTAGGACAGCCGCATGGCGAGAAAACACTCAGCTGCAGGACCCCCTCCAAAAAATAATATAATTTACAAAATGTGTTTTCATAAGATTTTCTGCTGGGTTGACGCATCTACTACATGGTGTGATGGTTAAGTATGGGATGGCAAAATCATTTCACGCCAAATGTGCAGTCAACTGATGGTAAAATTGAGTGTTAGTGGAAACAGATGTGGAATCCCGGAGCAAGAAGAAAGTGAGAAGAAGTTATCTTTGTCGCTTTTGGGAAAAAAAATTAGAAAGCCAACCTCATTAAATTTTTGTACGTACCACTCCTGGTATTTCACATGCAGTCTCACGGTTGTTCTGCTCAGGGTCACAGTAGATACGCAGCTTCTGAATTTCAAACTGCACAAATTTGGGGACAACACACAATTACAAGGTCAATGGCGATATAAATCAAAATAACAACTAAAAGTGGTAACAGTAATACTATGCGGTTGTGTAATCCCAATATTGTTTGTGCCTTGCCACTAATCCATTTTAATTGCTTTAAAACTACCCCCTCCCCCCCCCTAAAAAAAACAAACAAAACATAAGCGACTTTATATATCCATAGTGAGGGGTGTACTAAAGCTAGAGGCCACCAGGTGTCATGAAGGTGAGGGCTTAATCCATGCATCCATTTCCCTTCCAAGTGAAGTAGATTAAGTAGATAGGTGTTGCTGTTTTTGTTCGCAAATGAGTTCCCAACAAAGTTTAGCTGGGATGAACAATAGTGCCAATGATGGTCGGTAATTACAGTTGTCACCCCTTTTTTTTTTTCAGGGGGAAAATATAAGCATTTACTTGCCAAGAGGTGCTTCTCGGTTTCAAGTGGATGACACACCTGGCAGTTAATTGAGGTACAGTATTTATTCGAGTGGAGGCGACATTTTCGGAAACACAGCATGCTCTCCAAAGCAGCTACGTTGAAGTCTTTGAGACTTCGAAAAGGAAAGGAGGAACACAGACCCGTCACTTCATTTGGTATTTTGTTGGGGGTTTGTGGTAAATTGGCTCCAGAATGTCCCACCGAGTATTTGGCAACAGTTACCATGAAAGCAGAAAGCTTTATATTTATTTTGATGGTGCCATGACAACAGCGACTTGTATATTTGGATGATTTGAAAGCTGCATTCATGCCTTTTTTGTTTCCCATTGCCAAGTAACTTGTCTGAGAATGTAGAGTATTATTTGTGCTAATGGAGAGATGTGGTTTCACTGCAGTAATCAGAATCGTAGCTCCTGCCACAATGTGCAAACAGCATAACTGTTTACATCCGGTTTGCATCGCAAGAGTTTTGAATTGCCAGCTGTTACATAACTACACTAGAGGTTTATCAACGTTTTGTTGAAAAGTATTTCTTTAACCAGAAGGAAAATAATTTTCTGTTGATAAAAGAGCACATGAAGAAAATGTTCCGAATACATTCCATGGTACATGTGAACAATCTTACAGTGCTTACCGGCGCTGTTGTTTCTTTACTGACGTATTTTCCAACTTGAGTTTTTCCATTGATGAAAATGCCAACAGGAGGCTCCAATGTCAGTGTTTCCATTTCCAGGTCATCAACATAAAGAGTGACGTCTTCCTCGGTGACCAGCAGTCGTAGTTGGTGCCATTTCTCATCAAACAGTTTCTTTGGGCAGAAAACCAATGCGAAAATGAGAGGCAATTATGAATTGAATGCATAAATAAATACATAAATATTCAGATAGATAGCTTTAGAGATAGATAGATAACAGTGCAAGCCATTGACAGCTATGCAAACTTGGTCTAAATGTATTTTTCTTGATGATTTGACCAATTTTGTTGTCGTTTCATGTGAAGTTGTCTTTTATTTTGCGTCTTCATCTGCTTGTAAATATAAGTAAAAAGATGGTTAAGTTACCTCTTCAGTAGCCCTCCAGGAATACTACTCTTACTATATCAATGTAGCCGCTTATAGGGCAAGCACCCATACTTGGTTTCTTGGGATGAATCACCTCACCTTATTTTTAGGCAGCGGAATCATGCGATATTCTTACAAATGAATAGGGATGGGAATCAGAGTAACTTGGGATACTAGTGTGATATTTGTCCAAAGGCAACAATAATCACAATGAAATAAGATTAATGATCACTTCATTGTTGATTATTTGAGGAAAAGCATCCTTCACGCATAACTTATAATGTATGTCTTGTTGCACATTGAGCTTTCATTGTGATCAAACATTTTAAATAAATGGGCTCAAACATGAATTTTTTAAAAAAATTACTGATCTATAGATTATGTAAGTGGGAAATAATGCTACACGTTTCCAGTATTGATATTTTGTGCCCATCCACATTAATGATTATAATGGAAAACATTTATAAGGTAATGAAACAAATATATATGAAAATGTTCACTATTATAGTATATTAATATTTTGCCTTTTTTCATTTTGTAAAATGCAACAAAAAATGTCTGCTTCGAGAAGGTGAATGGAGGAAGTCACAATATAAGTGGATACTTTCATGTCATAGTAGAGTATAAGTCAAAATCATTAAGCAGAGTAGTGAAATGTGGCGGGTGTACGTGTCAAAATCCATCAGCGCCTCCATTTATTGGTGCCTCCAGGAATCTTCTGTGACTGTTTTGAAGTCTTTCTTATTGTATTACCAGCTGGTCAAGTTCAAAGCTCAAATATTCTACTGTATTTTGTTTGAGTGCAGGGGAAATGATGGGTGCACCCACACTCCTTTCTCTTTCTCCCAAGACACGTTTTGAGTAGTCATGATTTTCACTGACCCTTCCAGTGTTCTGAACTATGCGCTTATGAACTCAACAAGGCGGGGGCTAAAACGCACAACATTAACCCGTTCCAGTTAAACTCTAAAACAGGTTTTCTCCTTTGGGCCCGACAGACAGCAGAGAGCCTCTAAAATAACAAGGTTTTACCACATGCAAGTGAGAAGTACACTGGAAAAAAAAATGATGTGTTGAATTTACTCGATTTTATTTCATCAAGTGGTTGCATGAAACAAAATCATCTGCATCCAGATACATTTGTCAACTATACATCTAATGAAAACATGCATCTAAATCCAAATGATTTTATTTTGTGAAACCACTTGATAAAATATATTTTTTTAATGCCAAAATGATTATTTCAAGGCTCCAATAATTGAGACTAACATTATAGATATTGGAAACCAAATAATCAAAACCTTATACCGGTATTTATTTTGTTATTTATTTTAATAATAGTTTCTTTGTTCAGTGGGGGAATACGGTGATTGAGTGGTTAGCACATCTGCCTGCATGTCTTTGCAAGCGTTTTCCCTCAGTACTCGGGTTTCAAAAACATACCTGTATGTTCTGTTCAGTGAAGACATTAAATTGTCAATAGATGTGAACATGATTGCGACTGGTTCTTGGTCTATTTATGCCCTTCAATTGTCTGATGAACAGTCCAGGGTTCACCCTGCCTCTCGCTCAAAACCAGCTTGGCTAGTGTGGGTGCATGTTCATCTAGCATGCTGCAGTTAGGGTTGTGTCTCCAAGTATGTGGTTGTAGAATAATGACAATAAATTACCGTATTTTCCACAATATAAGGCGCACCTAAACGCATTCGATTTTCTCAAAAGTCAACTGTGCGCCTTATAAATCGATGCGCCTTATATATGGATCAATATTTTGATTTCTTGGATGTAGTGTTTTAAATGTTCTGTAAAACGCTTTGTTACAGTTGCAACGGTTGTGAAAGCTCTCTCTCTATTTATGAAGCTGTATTGTATTGTATTACCTTTGGCTTAGCTCCATCTTGTGGATGCATAATGTAACCACAGCCACTATTGTAGCTTCTATTCTATGCACCTTATAATGCAAACAGTTTTAAATGGGCCATTCATTGAAAGTGCTCCTAATACTCCAAAGTGCCTTATCGTGCGGAAAATACAGGGTAGCTTGCCAATCCCTCCTACACACCTACGTACCATTGCTGTGTTCTGTGAAAATGTAACCGTTTGCGTTCCAGTTAGTGAGTGGCTGGTTGTGGTGAACTGAACGGTGCCATGAAGTCCATTTAGGGTCACCGCCATTTGAGGTCTACCGTCACGCGTCTGGATTCTCCACAGATCCCACTGCTCCAATGCCACCGATCCCTTGTATCTCAGAGTGGCAACAAACACATACGATGGTGGGAGGCCATCAGGGAAAAGTGACCTGAAACAACAAATTACCTCAGCTTTGAAAGCACAAATACAATGCAGAAAAAAACAAAAGTCCAACCTTGTAGCTTCACTCAAGTCAATACGAGATGTCACCTCGTAGGCCTTAGTGCCATGATATGTTCCTTTTGTTTTCTTGGCTTTTTTGGCAAAATTTAAATGGTATAGGATATCAAATCCTTTCTCATCTCTGGAATCGATAGGTATTCTCGCAGGACAAACAGTCTCTGAAAAAAGAGAGGGACAGTGAAAAACCGGAAAAAACAACTCATTTGATATTTAAGTAGTCACGCTCTTCAAGTACACTATAATACTCTCAACAAAGCCTGAAACTCAATAGTTTGCAGCATAGAGTAAATGAAAAGCAGGGGAAGACTTTCTATGACGTGTTCATTTTTCCTGTATGGATGACGTAGATGGAGCATGTCCAACAGATCCACATTTGCAATGACTGGGAAAAAAAAAAAAAAAAGCTGAAAACCTGTAATGTGAATGCCGGCCAAGTAGCTCATTTGTATCTCAGGAAACACGATGTGAATGCAGAAATTTCTTGTGCAATATGCATTATCCTTGGGGAGTTGGTCTGCGTGGATGTACAGTAGCTCAACTTCCTTGCTGCTGTCATTTTGGCAGCACACTGACATAGGGGTGAGCAAGTCCATCTCACTGTCAGGAGATCTAGATTTAATCTCCTTGGGATTGCAGGGGTTTTCCCAGAGTACTCTGTTTCCCTTCCATAACTAAAAAAAGATGACTCTTAGGTCAATGGTAGACTTTAAATTGTCTTTAAGTGTGACTATAAATAACTATTGGTCTAATACGGACACGTGATATAGAAAATCAATGGGTGGATCGCTAGTGGCTAGTTGGCAGCCAAGTGTTGCACTCCCTTTTGCCCTAAGTTACTTGACAATGAATTCCACACATTGATCAATAATGACAATAATTATTCGTCATTTATGCCTGTTCGTATAATAAGCGAACAAAGGCTCGGCCAAGGTATTTCCCTTTTCAGCAAAACACAAAGCTGTGCAAACAGCCCCTAAATAAGCAGTTTCTTACCTTCACACAGTTTTTGTCGAATGACTTGTATGATCCTGGAAATACCTTTGTAGTCCTCCACAGAGAAAACGTAAGTTGAAAAAGGTTTGTTTGCAATGGCTCTCAACTGTGCCTCCTCTGTCTCTGACCCCACACCAATCGCAAACAAAATGACTCCTTTTTTTCTCGCGGCTTCGGCTGCCTTGGAAACCTCATCTTGAGACTTCCCATCGGTGAGGACAACTGCAATTCGGGATACGCCCATCGGGCCACGCTCAGAGAGGCCAAACAGTTTGTCTGTGGCAAATTCGATGGCCGTGCCTGTCCTCGTGTTTCCTCCCATGTACTCGATGGATTCCATCGCTCTGATCAGGTCGTTGTTTGTAGAATACTTCCCAAGAGGTATTTCTAAAATGGGATCATCGGTGTACTGGACTACACCAAATTGGGTAAATTTCTGTCCAATTTGGAAATTTTTGGTTATGTTTACAAGCCACCGCTTTACTATTTCAAAGTTGACATCTTCAACACTCCAAGAACCATCGACAATAAAGACCAAATCACCTGGCGCAGTCCTACAACCTGAAGAAGAAAGAAAGCAAAACCACGGCTCATTCAGCGCATTGACTACATGAAGTTAACAAGCAAAGAAATTGAGGTATAAGTCAAGAAAGAAGAGCTACTTACTTCTTAAGTCTTCATCTTGTGCTGCGTTAAGCCAATGGAGAAGCATGAAACACATGCATCTTAAGATACAAGGCATGGATGTTGCTTTGTAACCCATATTGTAGCCACACTAACTTACCCGTTGCACCTGAAGAGAAAGGAGGAAAACGTAATATCAGAATGTCAGAAGCCCCTTTCACATCGGCCATCCAAGCCAGCATTTGCATTTCCCATTTTGCATTGTCATTTTCCAGCTATATGTGTAAGGTACCAATTGATGCCTTGAAGTGGACCGCTCGGTAGTTTCAGAGGAATTAAAAATATTGGACAGCAGGAAGCCACTACCAGAGTGTAGTTTAACACCAGAAACTCACTGCGCAAGTGTCAACCGTCATCGCTTCTGACATCTTATTATCTGGGTGTGTAAAGCCGCATTACCTGTGTAGACGTGCACTTCAGATACAGTAAAATCCTGCTTTAGCAAATTTTGTCTTCAAGGACCAGCTGAATGAACTTCGGCTCTACTGTTACACCTCATAGAGTGCCAAGTAATAAAATACATTTTAGCTTATTCCAATGCCAAGTCACATTCCTGCAGTTGTTTTGAAAGAGTCACTAATATTGTAAAATGACTAATTACTTGTCAAATGACAGCAACACAATGGATAACATACCGTATTTTCCACACCATAAGGCTCTTTGGAGTATAAGGCGCACCTTCACTAAATTTTTAAACTGTTTTCATATATCGGGCGCACCGCATTATAAGGTGCATAGAATAGAAGCTACAATAGTGGCTATGGTTGCGTTATACATTCACTAGATGGAGCTACTCAAACAGAATACAATATTTCACAAGCATTCACAACTGCTGCAGCTGTTACAAAGTGCTTTACAGAACATTTAAAATACTATGTCCAAGAAATCAGAATATTGATCCACATAGAAGGCATATCGGATTATAAGGTGCACTTTTGGCTTTTGAGGAAATTGAATGCTTTTAAGTGCACCTTATAGTGCGGGAAATACGGTGCTGGATTTTGGAAGCCCAATGCTGTTAGTATGTACTGGAATCATAATTATTTTGCTGCCAGCCAGCCAACAGAAAGACTGGAGGCGACTTCAATTCAAGTCTCTGCCTTGCCATTGACTTCAGAGCCACCCCAATCCTGTTTCTCAGCTCTCAACGCCTTCGCACACAAAAGCATGTTCCTTTCTGACGTTGTCCAGCACATCCTCACATGACACTCTCAGCCTTCCTAAATGAATGGCCTATTAAACCTCTAAACCACAATTTCCCTTGAGCGAGTACTCATTCCTGTGGGATTACCAGTTCATCCCCAAAACTTGAAAATAGGCTTTGTTCAAGACTTATCGTTAACCCCCCCATTTGCCAATACTTGTCCGTCACATGTTCTAGACTGTTAGATGTTTTTTTCCTCCTAGTTTAGTAGTTTAACATTCCATTTTTCAAATCAAACATTCTTAGTTACATGACGAAATTGCCTCGTCTCCCTCCCTCCTCTTCCTAAAAATGAATGTGGAAGCATTCTTCCAAAGAGCGCGAGTCTCTTTGTAAATTGTAACGGCTGTGTACTTGCTAACTTCCTTTGCGACTTTGGTGTATTTCCATGCTGGCAGCATTAAATGTATTTTGGGATATTTTCCGAGTCAAGCCTTCACAAGTATTGATGCATCTCTGTTTGAAGCTGGATGACACGAACAACAATCAGGGTGTTCTGTGAGTTTTTGGTTTCTTCGTACTTTCACTTGGACCAGTGCTTGGACCGTGACTGATGACATTTCACGAGCTCAGCAGGGCGTAAGGATGGATAAAAACGCAAATTGAGAGGTGGTTCACGATTTTTTTTCTTGTTTCTTTGTGGATCAACTCATCTGGCCTCAGCATGGTTGGAAGTTGTGGGCCTGAGCTTGGCAAACTTGTTCATGCATATGCGCGAGTACCCAACCTGGGCGCATCATCGATGTGCAGGTTATCAATGATAATAAACACCATTTATAATCCAAATAATCTAGATTATCAGAAAATTTGGAATGTTGTAAAAGAATGTGACAAAGGTGTTGAAGTATGGCGAAGAGCGGCACAGTGAGGGCAGGACAGCCTGGGACAAGGAAGGGGGGAGTTAACTGGTATGATGGAACAGGATGACTGTGTCATATTCGCACCAGTCTCACGTTCACCTTACATAAAGTACATGTCGAAGAATTTTAGGGAGAACCTGCAAGGGGAGAACGCGCAAACTTCACCGGCTGAAATTTTAAACCATGTTGCTGTGAAACAACGGGAACGCTAACAAAATGCACCCTTACCAAATATTAAATGCAAATGAGCTGTTTTTGTCCTTCAAAAGATTTTGCCCCATTAATGTTTTCTCAATAACCGGCTCAAACGCCACACATTTTACCACATTTAAGAATACGATTAAAATGCCATGTTTCCAGAACAATAAACGTTAAAGCCAGACCTGTGATCATTCTGTGTTTTTGGCATTTTTTCATACCACATTTTGACATCATAATTATATGATTACGGCATTTCGCTGCTGAGCAGAGTCTCTCTGAATTGCAGGAAATGACTGCAGGAGTTCTGCATGAACCTAATAGAGCACTTGTCAAAAAAATAGAATGTGATCCTCAACTGGAGATGAATCAGCATAACCTGTTGAAGCATTTCAACAAATGTTACAATCTTAAAGAAAGTGCGTTGATATAAAACTACGGGCATTGGCCTTTCACATCACTCGGCGGTAATTATGCAAGACGCAATTTCAACTTCACTGTGCCTGCTGCTATGACAAGATTGAACACAATGTGGATTTACGATGACATAAAACCTCATGAAAGGAGAGATCCAATGTCATACGCAAGCTGATGAATGAGTTGCTTGTGAGCCGACAGCAGACATTCGATCATCGAACTCGTTTCTGCGGTCGCACTAAGAGATGATGTCTTCAAACACGCGGGACAGAGAAACTGCTGACATGCATTAAGGAAGCACTTGCAAATGAGGACCAGATATTGTGCAATGTACTGGAAAAAGCAGGACTCCTGGAACATATCCCGTTTTCATACAAATGGAAATAATATAAATCTCATTTCAGATCATGACGCATCAAGATCAACCGAACAGTAGCTGAGATTTCACTCTTAGCCTATCGAGTTCATCCATTTCTGTTCAACAAAGGAGGGGTTCCAGGATCAACATGACTCAGTTTTTCCACAATGCTCACTCAGCACTGAAGAGACACACTTGAACATGTTTCAACTGGTTGTGAAAGCCATTTTATTCAGAATTTTCCCCACTAGAGATTTCGGGGGAGACTGCTGGAAAACCCCCTAATTGGCAAGGTGCAGCCTGGATGACTTTCCCCTCTTACGACTTTCCCCAAATACGGCGTTTCGACACTTCTGCTCAAACCACATGGAATTCATTTACAGCGTAAATGACGGTGTAAATTTTACACTGTCGGACAGTCAAATTCCCGACTCTCCGCCGGTTCCAAACACATGTAGGACTACTGCACTTCAGGATGAGTGAGAGCAACTTATTTAGTAAACTCCTGTTTAGCATTGCATTGCATTATTATGCATGTCTAACACCAACAAACGAACAGATGTCCACATTTGCATTGTTTTGAGCGCAACACTACTTTGCAGCCTTGAGCTTCGAGTCTGAAAATTCTCAAATGAAGTCCCAACTCGTTGGAGGAGAAATTACAACAATGACTGCAGCATCTCATTCGCCAGCGCTTGGAAAATGTTAATGTAAATCTTATTTTAACATCCATTTGGTCCGGAATGACTTTTGGAAGCAATAACAGTTTGTCACATCTCGAGTGATATCAATGTAGAACCTCTAAAATGGAAGACAGTCCATTCTGTGGAGATGGTTAACTTTCAAAATGTTCTAATTAAAGGAAAAGTGAATGGATTTGTTCAGGCTCTCACCGACTCTTACGGGCACATTTTAAGTCACATTTTATCGTTATTAATGATCACACTAATACAAAAACTGTACGTCATGTGATTGCCTTGCGATCACACGAGGGTGTATCGCACCTCTCGTCCAAAGTTAGCTGGGATGGGTAAATGAATGGAGGGATTATGAACTGTGGAGCTGTGGGATATTAGGTAATATTCATTCATTCATTCATTCATTCATTCATTCGTTCGTTTTCTTAGCAGTACCTATCCTGTTGCACTTAGGTGCTGACTGACATTTCTTGTGACCTGCAAGATTGTTCAAACTTCAAGTTTTGCTTTGTTTTGGAGGCATAATTTTAAAGAAAAAAAAATGTACCTCCAAATCGCAACTTTTTTTGCCACTTTTGAGAATTCGCTGTAGACTAAGTCAGAACATCGACTGTAGTTTCGAGTGAGATTTTTAGATACAGTAGGTATGGCCAACCGTAATGCACTCTTTGAACTATTAGGCCCCGAAGAGTTGTACAGTATTCAATTAGTACTGTATCTGTATTTTCAGTAGAATAACTCCAAGGAGTAGATCCACTTGTCCTACAGTTGCAAAGCACGTATCTGATATAAATTTGGCAAACGAGAGCTTTTCTTTTCCAAAATCAACAACTTCTGTTGCTGAACTGCGGCCAAGACCTTGGAAATTTACTGCTGCCAAATTCTTCAAGCAACAAAGGGAAGCCAAGTCATGTTAGTCATCCTCCTTCGAAATCTACTCAACATCCAAAAGTCTTGTAAGCATTAGCTCAGAGGGCTCCCAATTCTCGCCAAATAGCACATCCAGTTTTTACATTTACTGCTCCAAGTGTCATAGATAATTACCCTTTATATGCTCTGCATTGTATGGTCACCTTTGCAACGACAACAAAAACGATACTATTCTTGCAGCTCTCGTGATGCCGATGCACTTGCAAAAATTCAGCGAAATGTGACTGAAGAAGTTAGTCAGGCATCATTCCTTGATGATTCCATGCATTTTTGACAGCAGCGCAATCAAGGTACTGAGAACTGCACTTTATAACCCTGATATGCCTTGCAACACAAACTCAAAGTTGAGCATACAATTCAAAAAAACACTGACAACTTTTTCATTAGTATGTGTAACCAACCTGCATTGACACACACACACACATACGCACACGCACACGCACACGCACACACACACACACACACACACACACACACACACACACACACACACACACGAGAATTCCCCAAACTCAGGTGTCCCATACATCCCAAATATTTGCAAGATATTACCTGTAAGCGTTCCAAGACAACGTGGGGATTCCTGTTAATCCTTCTCATTAAGAGGGATCAGTGATCATTACTGTTCCCAGTGCAGCATTGTCAGAAAGTGCAGGAAGAAACGCAGGTTTTGTCGAGTGAATGAAAGAAGGCCCTCCCTCGGTTGCCTGTGCTTCTGTCCTTCTTCTTCCTCCTCTCCACCCGCCTCACTCGCACTCTCCCTGGCACGCCGCCAGCCTCAATTACCGCGGGTGGAAAGAGAAGCCGATAAGGAGAGCATGAAATTGTACAACAGACAGCCATTCTCTGACGGTCCAGAAGGAAAATCATAGTAATGAGAGCAGGCTCCTTCCAAGTGTTGTGGGTTTGGAACGGCGGTTTGCTGAGGGCATAAGCAGAGAACATGGACATTTCTGGAAGACAAGCACGGGATCAACCCACAAATTGGAGCCTTTTTTGCTGACTAGCACATGCATTGATCGGCATAAATGACAATATCCCCAGTTCTCACAATAATGTATCCAGACACATTTGTGAGCAAACTTTTGTTGTGCTATAATGTGATTTACTAACATTCCCTCGTTAGTAACTCACTGGTCCTCAGCACTGTACTCATTGTTCCTGACTGCATTGTTGCGATGGACCTGCTTGAAAAAAACCCTCATGATCGGTATCATTTGAGACAGAATTGCGATGCATCCCTTAAATGCCATTTCAAGCTGTGAAACCAATTTTCTTGCAAGGGTAACTGATGTTAAACACCCGCTGTTTTTAATTTTTTTAACATTGGGTGGATTTACAAGTGACACAATATTGGTGGAGCACTGATATGGGTCATGGCAGTGTAAAGAGGAAAAAACGGCATCCAAGAACTGTATCAGATATCTGCCAAAGCGACAGCACTATAAACGGACAGATGAGCTCTACTCTGTCAATTCGAGCCTGATGTCATGGCAATGAACCAATCGAGGACGCATATGGTCCGTGGAAAGTTCAATGCGGTCTCAGTATGATACGTGAGCGGTGCATAATGCATGAGTACATGGGAGCAAATGCCAACATTGGCGTATTGCTGAGATCAGCTACATTTTAACATTGGTAGAAGAGGTCAGTTCAAAGATGTGGAATATTTGTAAAATTGTTTACTTGGGGGTTGTTGCTGCCCAGTTTTGACACTCGGTACGTAGTTGTTCACATGCATGGGTCGTGATGCCTCAGACCAGCCTGTAATAGCAACCCAATTACTTTTTGGAAGAAGTAATTTGCAAAGCGAATTAATTTTTAACCGGTTACAACAGTGAACAGTTTATCATGTTATCAGGTTACAGAGGGCATGAAAAGGTTAAAGTAACATGCCGAACCTGATTGTGAGTCGAAACAAAGCACAGGCTCCATGCATGTCCTGGGGTCCTCAGCTAGGCGACATTTTTAATCAATTTTTACAAAGCTAAGACAAAAGTATGCTGTACTATGTCAGCAACACAAAAAAAATTGTGATGAGTTAGAACTCAAAGTACGGTCTGCCTGACAGCTCATTCGCAATCAGCTACATCTAGTACTTCCAGAGGAGCTTCTTTTGTAAAGAACCATGAGAAAAGTATTGCAACTTATTCATTTTTTATAATTGAAAAGAATCATACCGCACTGCATACGGAGTTGCTTTGGACCTATATTAAATCAATCGTATTGTTGGCAGTGTATCGAGGTGTGCATCACCAAAGTGAGGCCCATTCCAATACTCTATCTGGTATGAATATAGAATTTCCAACACATTTTATAATATGTAATGCAAATAGACAACAAAAACGATTACTACTAGTTCCTGTATGACTGATTAAAATCAAATAGTATTGTACAAACTCAACAGATTTTATTTTATACTCTTTGGTAATATTTAGTAACTTCAGTGGCTTTCTTCAAGTCATAAAAAAACTAAAGTTTGGCATGCTGTCAACGTTTCCGCGTATAAACGAGAAAATACGATCACTCTTACCTGCCAGGTGCAGGTGACTTCGAACTTGGTCCTGTGCCAAGACGAAGCGCTGGTGGTTGCCCACCGTGTCCTGCTTGACCCTGAGCTTCAGCGATGTTTGGTGGGTTGCACTGGCAAATGTTAAGTGGGGGTGTGGAGTGTGGGGGTGGCCAATCTGACAATGAGATATGCTTCTGGTGTGCTAGCTAAAACAACACCATTCAAGGGTGTGCTATGGCGTGAACTCGTGTTAGTTCAAGGGGCTACTATTGTGTTTCAAAATCTGACTCGAGACAGACAGTCAGACTGAAAATCACTGTTGGCTGCACTTTGCCATTCAAACAGGAAATTACGAAAGCCCTGCCGCTTTGAACGCATCAGTTGGAACAAAACAATAACAAAGAACCACAATGGAGAATGAGGGCCTCGAAAATTTCCTTCTTGGTATGTGGCTGGTGGCCATGGTAAAGACACTTGAGACTTGTTCATCAAGAGGAAACTGCGGGCGGCAAGCCACAGCAAAGCGGACAGTGTTGAATACAGTAATGCAACATCCAGGAATAAGGCACAACTATGGTTTTGTCATTTTTCTATCCCGTATCCTCAAATGTCCCAATGTTGCGGTGATGATGAATCTGCTCAACCAATGAGTGACAGGCAGTAGTTTAAAGCACCTTTAAAGCACCAATATGGTCTCAGTTCGGCACAGCGGTCCCTGTATGACTCAAAATAATAATAGGTAGTACATTCGCAGCACATACATTCAAGCTTCAAGACTAAGTCCCACCAGATCGTGGGATTGCAAGAGGTCCCCAAATGTAATTGTTATATTTATAAATCATGTACATTACAAATATTGAGTTTTGCCATTCCAACATTAATAGATTTCTATTAATGTTGGAATGGCAAAACTCAATATTTGTAAAGTAAAAAAGAATTTAAAAAAAAAGAAATAGATAAAAATTGAGGCGGCACAATTGGCAACTGGTTAGCGCGCCCACTTCACAGTGCAGAGGTGCAGGGTTCAATTCCTGCTCTGGCCTTCCTGTGTGGAGTTTGCATGTTCTCCCTGCGCCTGCGTGGGTTTTCTCTGGGTACTCCGGTTTCTTCCCACATTCCCAAAACAGGGTGTCAACCTCACATCTGGCCCGCCACATTATTTTATGTGGCCCGCGAAAGCAAATCAGACATGTCAACTTCTACCATAATTGCTAAAAACTGAACCAAAATTTCAACTCCTCATATGTAATAAATAAGACAGATATTATAAGCATTTTCTTGTTACCAAATCCCTCATTACAGTAACTTAAACAATCGTTTAATCAACCATTATTCGAGACTTCTTTAAATGCTTTCACAGTCAAAACAGCCCTCCAAGGAAAACGGTCACTTCGATGTGGCACACGACAAAAATGAGTTTGACACCCCTAGTTTAAATTGTCCCTAGGTGTGACTGTGGAGCTGAAGGGTTGTTGGACTATGTGTGCCCTGAGTAGTAGTGCTACGTCATCTGGTTCGTGGCAGGAGAAAAGTGGCTTTTAGGAAATAAACTGTTTTGTTTTATGCTAAACCTCTTTCCGCGATCCATGTTATGTGCAATACAGAAGACTGAAAGATGACTGAGAGTTTGATGAAACAAAACGGAACAACACGAGGTGGAGGATGACGGCTGAAGTCAACACGATGCCAAGGAAACAAACGAGAGCCAGGAAAAGCCTCTGACAAGAGTCTTGAGTCATTCAGATGTCTCAGCGGGGTCCCCCTTGAATATTTTGCTCCATAAGCTGTCGGAAAACAAATCATATTTCATGTAGAAATAGTGTGCTCTTAAGGTGATTGTAGCAGTTTTTTTTAAAGAATCCCAAAGCAGGCAAGTCCTGCTGCCAAGGACTAGCCCATTGCAACGCATTCAGAGAAACATTGCGAATTGAACCCAAAAGGAACATGTGGGCTTCATTCCAATCAAACATAAATTTATTTATTTTATTTTTTTATGGGCTACAAAGTGAGCACTGGGACACAATCAGGCCAGGAATTGAAACAGTCTTATGGTTGAAGTCCCAACCATTTGTAACATTCTCCACGCGGGGAACTGTTTCTGTTAGTGTCATGACAGTCATCACTGCGGCAGCTTCGAACGACGACATATATTATTTACTGTCACGGTGACAGCTAAATTCACGCTGTTGCCAGTTCAGTCAAACAAAATGTGAAATCAAATGACACGTGGTAGGTAACAACTTCCAAAGTTTCTGGGGTGAGATTTCTCGCATGTTAACCTGGGCGGGGAGTGGGAAAAAAAATAAAGAGTGAGAAGTTAATGGTACTTCCGTCCCGGTTGGGGAAAATGAAGACTTTAATAAATGTATACATTTATTTACAATTACAACAAAGCTCTTGATGATTTCGATATGTACTTTCATTTCTTTTTTAATCACCGTCTTGGTGTTATTTTGGCATTGGTGTCATTTCCGTTTTTGTATGAATTGTTGCACTGACACAAGGATTATTCCATCAATTATTAATTACTAGTGTTAGCCTGCTTCTGATGAAATTGTTCTGGTGATGTTGGAAATTGTTGCAAGAGTTTACTACAGAAAATGTGTGGACAGCTGTGGCACAGGTGGTCCATCTGCATGTTTACTTTCCGGTTTTAAAAACTACGGTTGCATTTCGGTGTTCTCAGGGTCAGAGGCAAGATTAATGTAGCACTATGTTTCTGTGTTGTGACTTTCAGAAAAATGAAATCTTTAAGACCAAGCGTAAAGAATGTATTAGCTAAGAATAAAACTGACAAAAATGTTTGAAGTTTTTTTTTGGGTTTTTGAACATGACAGTGGTTTGAAATAAAATTATTATACAAATTATATATATGATGTACGGACATACTGTTACAACAGTATTGATTGCTGTATATTAGAACCTGGATTTGCATCACATGGTAAATAAATATCAGTCTGATCGTAAGAGTCAAACCATTTTTTTCTTTGTTTTTTATTATAAAGAAAAGAAAATGTTTAAAAAGTCAGATTGTGAAATCTTTTAAATAAAATCAAAGTTTCCATTTTTACATGTTCACGAGCATTCCATATTGGTGTTTTTTGGGTGTTTATTTGTTCATATGGTCAAAAAAAAAATCTGAGCCTCAGTAACAAAGAATATTTACATTAAAAATTCTATTTATATGACTGAAAACATATTAACATGAGAATGAAGCCAACACTTTTTGCTCCTTCCAATATTCAACTGTCCACCTGGGCTCTTTTCCATTACTGGCGGTTCCACAACCTTCGCGGGGGTGCAGCCTGAGGAGCAACTTGAGGCGCTGGACTTGTAGAAGTGAGCAGAGCACACCCAGAAGTGAGGCAGACACCCGGGGGCCCTCTGAGACCTGCATGGCCCCTGACACCAGGCAGACCTGAATGTCCCCGCTCGCCCGGCTTCCCTGGTTGTCCGTTAAACACCCGCCCGGGACGTCCGCTCTGACCTGTGATTGACGGGAAAATACATTTTCAATGTTTACTTTTATATAGAATTTGGGTACATATATTTAAACACAAACATTGTGAGATTTTTTTTTTTACCAATTTTTCCCTGGTCTCCAGTGTAGCCAGGTAGGCCATGACCCTTGGCTCCTTTATCACCTTGCTCTCCTCTGTCACCTGCCCATCCATGCAAACAAACACGCATTTCTCAGAACACAACAGACTGACCAGAAGAATGACATTGCCTGGAAATGATCCACTGATTAAAAAGCATGTGGTACTGTGATCGCTGTTAAATAAAATACCATGCAGATATTTCTTCAATATCATGGCCTGGGTGTAAGGTGGGGTGGGGTGGGAGTGGGGGTCTCTCATTAAAGCCTCTAACTGTAGCTAAAGCCTGAGGCACTTGTATTACTAGCGGCACATGTTGTGACTTTAGGAATCTGTCCAACGCCGTGAGTGCATTCTGTCTGCTTTGCTTTTCCACACCTGGCCCTCCCTGCTGGCCTGAATCTCCAGCTTCACCATAAAATCCTGGCAGGCCAACTTCTCCAGGATCGCCGTTTCTTCCAGGATCACCCTGACAACATCATAAAAAGGAAAAATATAACATTCATCTTTAGTACATCAATTCTGTGTCAACCTTGAATTATTTGGTTCTTCCATTCCTTGTGGATGGTTCCACTTACATAAAAGCTGAACTTGCCTGTTTTGCATATGCAGATTGTTCTGAGAAATATATGTTACAGTCACATGTCTCATTCTGGTACTTGATAACTTAGCTGGACACAACTATTTTTTGTTTTAATATACATGTACTTTTAAGACCTCAAGAGTAGATAAGTATCAACAATAATTTGGGTCATACTGAATATAAGCTTGAAAAAAAAATCTTCGTAAAAGATAAAGCTTATGTCAATGTTTCTTTCTGGTCCTGAGAAAAAAATTCACACACTGAAATCCTTGGAAGGTTTTCAGTCTGTTGGAAGCAGACTGTTGCATTTACATTGTAGGGGAATTTTTACATTCACTCATTGAATTAGACGGTGCGATTAAAACTCAGCATTTTTTCCTTCAATATGACAATTTCTTTTTTTTTGCAACGAACATTTTATTTTCCTTTTCAGTATGGCCCTAATACGCCACCTAAGTCGGAAGAACCCTTGTGATAGAAGATGTGATGGGACATGGATTACCTCTGTGCCCCATAACAATATGGAAAGGATTTGACGGTAGTTGAAACTCTCCAAAAAACATTCAACGCATACCAGGAGACCACGATGCGACTCTATTTGTCCTCATGTCGACGTGGGAATGCTTTCGTTGTTAGTTTTTCTGCCAAACACCGCAGATGACTTACTCCAGACATTTGCAATGTGCAGAGCAGAAGTGAATGTATGGAGAGTAGCCCTGGTAGAGCGTTTCGGCTCAAGACTTGAAAAGTGTTACAACTTACAGCAGGTCCAGGTGGGCCTGTCTGTCCAGGTGGACCGGGGGCGCCCATGGGAACGTCCCCGTAGAGAGGACACACCGCTGCACACGTCCTCTTGACTGAGTTGGCGAAGGCAGACATCTGCTCCAGCACCACTTTCTTACAAACCTCAATCACGTGTTGAGCCGGCAGCGTTGGACCCTGTATAAGGAATCAGCAGCACATCCATCACTGGAAGTCGCCCGACTGTGGAACATGGCGGATGAATATTCCAGCCGAGACCATGCTGAAGTGATGGCAGCATTTCAGAGGAAAGCCCAGTCAGAAATGAGGCCAATGAGATTTCCCTACGCTCATTATGGATTTTTGGGTACACTGATGGATGAGACCTCGTGCCCGGATGAGAGTCTAATGAGAACATTTTGACAAACTGTTATTGACCTCAATAGTTTTAATGTTCCAACAACTCGATCACGTCAGTTAGCCGACCACTGTGAGCATATCTTGCCAATTACCTCAAGTACATTGCTGCAACCCCATCGTATGACAAATACAAGATAGAAAAAAAAAACATTCAGGCAGTTGTATTTTACTTACGGGGGGACCCGGGGGCCCCTGAAAGCCATCTGGCCCTCCTTCACCTCGCACGCCTTTGATTCCCACGGGACCCGAGCGTCCAGTCGTGCCCGCCGGGCCCCGCTTGCCTCGTCCTCCCTGAGGACCTGGCTGCCCTCTGTCTCCAACCTACATTGGCATTAACCGCAGATATGAGATCCAACAATGAAAATACCACAAGTGACAGGTAACCACGTTAACTCACCCTTCCTTTTGGTCCTTTGACACCTTTTTCTGCCTTTAAAAGACCAAAAAAATGTGTTGTGAGAACAGACATGATTAGGGCGGGAAGGTCAAAATAAGAAGGGAGATTTACCTGTTCGCCTTTGACTCCTTGAATTCCCGGGATTCCTGTGTCACCCTGTTTAAGAAAGTGGGGGAAAATATTTGATGTTGTGAGAAAAGATTAGTGTGAGATTAATTTTTCGGGTGCACTTGTGAGACCGTATTCTCTGTTTTACGATGTAATATTTTGAGATGTCATCATTCGTTGTTTGCTGATGTTTTTGACAGCCGATGTCCATACAATGCTCTTGGCCCATCAGCTCCATTCAGTCAAAGCTCCCCTACCTTCACCAGCCACTACATTAGGTACACTTGCACAATTTAAGAGCAGCACTACACGGGCTCTAGTAAAAATGTGCTTTTACAAACACGTGTATTGATTTGGCGGCCCGGTGCTCCAGTGGTTAGCGCATCGACCTCACAGTGCAAAGGCACCGGGTTCAATTCCAGCTCCGGCCTCCCTGTGTGGAGTTTGCATGCTCTCCCCGGGCCTGCGTGGGTTTTCTCCGGGTACTCCGGTTTCCTCCCACATTCCAAAAACATGCATGGCAAGCTGATTGAACACTCAAAATTGTCCCTAGGTGTCAGTGTGATCACAGACGGTTGTTCGTTTGTGTGTGCCCTGCGATTGGCTGGCAACTGGTTCAGGGCAGCCTACTGCCCGGGATAGGCTCCAGCGCCCCCCGCGACACTTGTGCGGATCAGCGCATTGGAAAACAAAAAAGTGTGATTGATTTGACAAAAGCCCCTTTTTGACTCCTGTACCATTTGTGCATGTAATGTTCCACTTTTTAAACCCAACAATTGTCCATCTTCTGAGATAGCATCAGCGATGTAACATAGGCAGGACATACGTAGCCTTTGTATAAGGATGTGAATTTTAGCACCTGATGTTCGCCACTTCCGCCCTGTTATGTTCAAAGTATTTTATATGCCGCACCAGATGCTGGGGGGTAAAAATCACATGCTGTAAATTGGGGATCTTCTGTTACAGCTGTGATGCGTAAACTTTGAAGGATCTCTGAGTTAAAGAGGTGAATAATTGTGTCAGCAGTGGTGTGGAGTTGCATGACATCATACAAAGTTGTTGTGAATATTTTGCCACTCTCAAGTTGCGAAGCAAGGTCACTTAAATAGCGCTAATATCCGCTCTGTGTCAGATTGTATTAGACTGAGCAGGTGCAACTAATGTTGTGACCAATGAGTCCAGATTCTACCTCCTCCCTCTTTTCAAGTGAAACATTTGATTTGTTTATTTCAACATTCAGAATTCAGCCCTCTTTCATATTCCCTGTGGTATAGTGAGGACAATACCTTGCTTCCTTGTTTACCGGCCTCTCCCACATGTCCCTGTGAAGTTATGACATAATTTAATGACATTTAGGAAAAAAATATATACAAGCATTTTGAGTTAAAAGTTTGAGTTTTAAACTTACGTTAGGTCCTGGTGGACCAATAAATCCCGGTCTTCCTGGTTTCCCTGCAGAGCCTTTGTAACCTCTTGGACCCTCCAGAATAAAACATTTATTTAAACTACATCAGGAACTGCGTCATTCTGTGTCGATTATTTCCCTTGAAAGTGGTGAATAACACAAGAAGATTTTCTTCAGTCGGTACAACTTACAGTTCGACCTTGAGGGCCCATTTCTCCCGCTTCTCCCAGGCTTCCTTTCTCCCCCTGTGAAAGACACACAAACCAAATGAACCGACCGCAGCCAACGCAGTTTATTGACCGTTCTCAACAACTTCAGTGATACCTTTGAGCCAATTTGTCCGAGTTTTCCACGGTGACCTTGTGGTCCTTGATAGGCCTGGGAAAAGAATAACAATGATTTCAATTTCAAGGAATCCCCTGGTAATGGACTGTAAATACAAAGCGCAAACAAAATTAGATTGATTATATTACATAAGTATTTGGCACCAGTGTGGATGAATCTTGCACTATTGTTTCTCTAAGACAGCATAAGTATTATCATTTCTTATGATATTTAAAGTTTGTCATTCCCCGTCATGAAGGAGGAGCATATACAGTACCTCTATACCAGGATCTCCATTTCTACCCGGTATTCCAGGATCTCCAACAATGCCCTGAGGAAATGTTATTCGGATTTATTATTGATAAAGAGGATGATTTTTGTAGTGTAAGTGATGTTTGGAAGGGTGTTGTTACCTTTTGTCCGATGGTGCCATCTTTCCCACTTGGTCCCGGGACCCCCTAAGTTAGACAATGAATGTTCTATAACTAATTTCAGGGTTTAAAATGACATGTTTACATGCATCCATCCACCCACTTTCTAATCCGCTTATCCTCACGAGGGTCGTGGGACATGGATACATATTTGACAATGATTGTGTGATATACATACGGGCTTCCCCTTCTGTCCAGCAGCCCCTCTCTCTCCGGGATCTCCGACAATACCCTGTCAAACATTTAACAGGAAACAAAATTAAGCTAGTTGCAGCACATTGTTGTTCTTGTTGTTTCTTCTTTGGTGGTGGGGGTGTTGGTGTTGGTTGGAGGGACTTGTACTTAAGTCATAAATAATAGCGTTGGTAAAGCACCCATTTACTGGTTGTTGCGACACCCACTTACGACTCGTATAGGTACGCTAGTTTGGCAATGTGAAGTAAGACATTTGAGAGCAATTTAAGTGAAGCTTAAACACTTTTCGCGTGTTTTTGATGTTTGTTCAGTTATTCAAAGTGTCACCAAATAGGAGTGCCAGAATACGGTCTGGTCGCTTTGACTGGGGACATGGAGCGGCCAGAACGTCAGGCAGGATGAAAGGGGTTCATTCGCCAGAACTGATTGAATGGTGTACAACCCTTGTTTACATTTCAGAAGAAAAACAACAGCCTTATTCTAACTGCATCGCTTTTCTGTATCTACCAAAACGTGGACATTTCAGCCCACTTCTGACAACAAATTGCATTTAGTTGCACGTTTTTGGTTTTTATTTGGCTGTTGTTAGGCCAACATTAGCCTTATCTTATGGTCATAAGTAATCGTCAAATGGGAAATGGGCATCTTTTGGGGTAAATAGTCATTGTAGCCCCTCTCTCACTCTTTCTCACCCAATCACAGACATGCACACACTCATTCCGGTTGTTTTTCAAGTTTTTTAAAAATTCTTATTCACACTTAATTTGGACATACGATACCAAAGAAAAGAGGCAATGTGTCACACATTCCGCACGTGTGTAGCATTTTTCAATAAAAACAAGAGACTAAGAAATACTTTTATAGAGATATTGTAACATGATTAAAAACAACTACAGTGTTAGCCAACTGGTGATTGCTATGATTTGTGCACATGTCAGCAACGTATCCCTTAGCTTTTTAAGAAAACCCAACTTTATTTCATTTGAATAAATCTTGCAATTTGTTAAATATATTCAGGTAGACGAAAAAAAAAAACAAGTAACATTTTGAAGGGACCTTTTTTGTTTGTAGTATTTGAGCCACGTCAGGATAGCCATCCTAACGCTACGCTAAACCACTTATGGATGAGGAACCCACCTGCGCTCCTCGCGGCCCGGAGTTCCCATCTGGGCCGGTGCTTCCTTTATTGCCCTACAAATATATATAAAAAATCATCACAAACGATCAATATATCTTTTTAAAAAAATGCAATAAATAAATAGAAGAGATTCATACCTTTACGCCTTCAAACCCAGCAATCCCTTCATATCCTCTTTCACCTTTCGCACCCTTCAGGGACAAAAAAAAAAAAAAAAATACAATCAAGTAGGGGTCGCCAAAATTAGGGTTGGGACCTGGAATGGCGAATTCTGGGGCAGGGTCGGAACTGTTATTTGCTTGGCTATTTTGGATTCATATTTGGGGTAACAATGTGATCTTTCTGATTCTTTTATGTTCAGTCCAGGGAGCATGTAAGTGTCCAGGGGAGGAATCACGTAACTTGCAAATAAGGCGAGAGTTAAACTTACAGCATCTCCATGCCTGCCAGTATCTCCAATGTCTCCAGAGGGTCCGCGGACACCCTTTAATGACAGTCCAAGTGTCATCAAATGAATTAAAAGTCAATGAAAAATCTGCAATGTCAGTCATTCTTCGACTGCTTAAATTCACCTTGAAACCCGTTGCTCCTTTTAAACCCTTCAGCCCTTTCACACCTCGCTCTCCCTACAAAAACAACATATGTGTTAATTGTGACATTTTATTCGTATAAGTATTTTGTTAGTGGAAAAGATGGTGTGAAATACAACTGCTTTACCGCAGGGCCCCAGAGTCCTCTCATTCCTTTCTCGCCTTTGCTTCCCGTCTCGCCCTGAAAACGATGCATGTGAACTATCATTAACCAGCCTGAAGAGTCAAACGGAAGCGTAATTTGATCAGAGTGTGAAGACAGAACTTACCTTAGGGCCTGGCTCACCCACATTGCCATAGTCTCCTGTGTTTCCCCTGATGCCCTGCAAAACAAGGTGGCAGTGAATAATGATTATAGCCATTAAAGGTAACGAGTAGTACAAAGATGGAAGATTCCGATTGCGCAACTTTTGCTTGATGCAGTTGAATGACAGACTGAATAAAGTCTCAATAAGCCTTTCTTTTTCTTTTTGCTTGTTTGTTTGATTTTATATATTCACATGATAACATTTCTTACATTTTAACACATCAATGGGAACCCAATTTCAACGTTAACTCTTCCTGGAGATGGGAAAAGGACCCGTGAAGCTCAAGCAATTTATTCTTCTCATCAAAATAAAAACAACACAGCATGACAATTTGTTCCCAAAATTAAATTAAAGTAATTTAAAAAAGTACATCTAATAACATTATTAATGGCATGAGATACCTGAAATTCTTTCTGATCTTTAAGTAGAAGATGTATCTGTACCCAAATCAAGAATTGGGAAAGGTAAAAAGAATCATTTGCGTTCAGTTCAATGTATTAATCCATCACAAGCTTTTTTGTTGAATTGACTTTTCACATTTTGGAATGCAAAAATACATAATAGGAGATATAAAATGTAATATGTGACAAAAAAATAGCTGAGCATAATGAAAGATCTTGGGCCTTTCGTTGCATTCATGTTTTTTTTTTTGTTTGTTTGTTTGCTTATAGTCTAATAAAGAAACTGCAAAGCTGGTCATTATAGCACTGCTGAAAAAACATGCACCCTTTTACTGGTCGCTGCAACAACCGCTTATGTATACTCGTATAGTACATTAGCTCAGCCATGTGTTGCTCACACAAGACGCAACATGATTTTGTTAAAATAGATGAAAGCATTTTGGTAAATATGTACATTTGCCTTACGTTTGAGCCATTGTTGAGCGAGTTTTGTCAATGCTAACGTAAATAGACGTTGTATGATGATGTTATCCAGCTCCTTTGGGGAAGAGAGTGAGGAGTAAACCTTTGCCTAAAGCTACATTTCAGTCATTGTCATGTTAGTCCCCTTAGTGGAAAATGTACACCAGAATATTCCACTGCACTCTGTATATACACACACCAATCATAAATGCAACTAAATGGAGCGCTCTTGTTTAGACAGATGCTAACCACCTCAAATGCAGAAGGAAAAGTGTTGCTCTGGATCAACAAACAAAAGCAGCACTTCGTCATGTTGTCTGTTTATTTGAACATCTCATCATTTTATAATCGGATAACCTCAAAGATGGCCGACGGTATGGCAAAAGGCAAGACCGTGAACTTTACGGCATGTCTACGCTGGCAAGCTCAGGCTAGCTTAAAAAAAAAAAGACCACCCATAATAGTTCGTAAATGTGTGCCAGGAAAGCGCCTCCTCAAGATGCAAGCAGGGAAAGAGATAAACACGCTGGGCCTCTGTGATTCAAAGCGTTACAAAAGACAGATGTTTACTCTCAAATGACCTCCAGCTGAAGACTGATGAGAGAATGTGGCACGAATGGCTCTGGAATCTTCTACTGTAGGCCTGCGTACTGTAAATTTGCCCAGGCGGGGTAGGGGATTTCCTCAAAAATGTCTTCAAGATGCAAGTTCCCTCCTAATGTCCCATTTATCGTTATCCAAGTTGACTCAAATACAACTGGACTTGTTTGTTCTTTTCCCT